AGAGAGAAGAGGGAGGGAGAGAAGAAGGGATGACTTCTGCTGAAAAGTCATGAGCAAGCTCTGGCAATCCTGCTTCTCTCTCTCTCTCTCTCTCTCTCTCTCTCTCTCTCTCTCTCTCTCTCTCTCTCTCTCGCTCGCTCGCTCACTCGCTCTCTCTATCTGTCTATCTCTATGTCTTTGTCTCTCTGTCTCTATATATCTCTCATAAAGACAATTTAAAACCACTAATAACTGCATCTTCCTACTGTAGCCACTGAAAAATTACAGATCATTGAGTGTGTGTGTGTGTGTGTGTGTGTGTGTGTGTGTGTGTCACTGTCTCACAACTTATAGAGTCCAGTTGGCCTAATCAGATTAGTGAGCTTGGGCAGTGCTATACTGAGCTTCAACTTGCAAGCCTCTTAGCAGCCACCAGCAGTGTGTGTGTGTGTGTGTATGTGAGAGAGAGTGAGATAGAGAGAGAGAGAGAGAGAGAGAGAGAGAGAGAGGGAGGCTACAAAGTTAAATATGAGGGGAAAAAACAATCCATTACTGTAAAACCCAAATACCCAAATAATTATGCAGTCAAATAAAAGAAGGCTAGCCTTCATTAGTTCTCTTCTAAACATGATTTTAGATTTAGATATATAGTTTAAATATATTTACCTCAATTTTTCTAGTCACTTTTTTTTTACTATTTTTACTCACCGAGAACTTTATTAGAAAACACCTGTACACCAACTCATTCATGCAATTATCTAATCAGCCAATCGTGTGGCAGCAGTGCACTGCATAAAATCATGCAGATACATGCCAGAAGCCTCAGGTAATGTTCACATCAACCATCAGAATTGGGGAAAATGTGTTCTCAGTGATTTTGACCGTGGCATGATCGGCCCGGTGGTAGACAGGCTGGTTTGAGTATTTCTATAACTGCTGATCTCCTGGGATTTCCACTCACAACAGTCTCTAGAGTTACTCAGAATGGTGCAATGAAGAAAAACAGCCAGTGAGTGGCAGTTCTGTGGAAGGAAATGCTTTGATGATGAGAGAGGTCAATGGAAAATGGTCAGACTGGTCCACTCTGTACAATTACAGTGAACAGAAAAGCGCCTCAGAATGTAAAACACACGGACCTTGCATGTTGTGCATTTGCAGAAAATTTGTAGTCATAACTATGGAATGTTTTGCTTCTCCTATGAAGTTAGTATTTTTGATTACTCTTTTACTTAGTAATCTAACTGACCGGAGATTACTCAATCCATCACTGACCGGCAGAGCTCCAAGTTGACTAGTAGTCTGTATAAACCAGCTCAAATATGTTGGACTAGAAAGTTATTTGCTATACATTCAATCTCTGTAAAAATTAGTAGAATTCAGAGTAACTTATTGGCAGCAGAGTTATTAAATTTACTGTTGTATGCTGTAAATTTACAGTACTTTACTGGCCACTCTGCTGGAAAATTACTGGAAATTGCATTTTCTATAATGTTTCTGTTAGCCAATGTACCACTTTAAATGCCAAATCTTTTACAGTATGATCCTGTAAAATTACCCACCAATATTTTACTGTAAAATACATTCTGTAGAATTTGCATTTTCTTACAGTTTATGTTAAATAAATTATTTACATGTAATTACATTATCATTACATAGCTGTACAATAAATAACATTTTTCCATCCAATTTACATTCTGCATCACTTCTAATTTCCATTTGTTCTAATGCCAAAAAACTTAAACATGGCAGAAGCAAGACACAGTAGACACATCAAATTCTAACGTAATTAAAGAGCTTGTTTTCAGCTTACATATGTAAACATTGTAAGGATTGAAAGTTTAGAATCTGTACTTCTGACACAATATTCAGAGTTTCAGAGAGTCATGGGTGAGAAATAATCAAAGAAAAAGAAAAAGAGGGTTGCATGTGTTTCACATTCAGTCATGTGCAAAAACTTGGGTGCCCTAGTCAAATGTTTTGCTGATTTTCTAAGTAGAAATAAGTGGACACACCACACATTTTAGTGCACAGTTTCTGTTTATTTGCTGAATTTAACATGTTTAGGGAAAATAAAACAAAATGTTGTCTGTGCAAAAATTATGGCACATTTAATGTTTTGTTTTTTGTTTTTTATTTAACAAATAAATCTAAATTTCTTTGCAGCAGAGCTTTAAAGAACACATTCAATGTTATGCAATCATACCAAAAAACCTGCTATTGACCCCATATAAAAGCCTGTTCAGTAGTTGCTATGTATAGATCACTATGTATAGATTCCTCACTGCCACATGACTTTTCATCAAGGCCTCCTCTTTTATAAACAGATGAACACAGCAACCCCCTCAGTCTTACCTGGTATTGGTACTGGAGAGTTGAACAGGTTATTATTAGTGTGTAGAAGACCATGAGTCACACTTTCCTCTCTCTCTTGTTTAAAATAGAATCAGTAGAATAAATGATGGTGTTTGTATTCTACACTGACTTTGTAATGATGAAAACAGTAAAACGTGTTTGACTAAATTTCTGCAGCACTATTGTTTGCTCCTGGAAATTCTCTTGCAGTGTTTTATTGCAGGTCAGTTCAGATCCACATGATTCTAACATGATCCAGAAGACTTAACCAATTCAACAGAATACAGTAGAGTAGAAGTACAGCACAGGAGGTTGTGAGTACGATCTCCAGCGATGCCACAGCCACTGGTGGCAGAGAGTCCAAGTGAGCATAATTCCACCCAACATCCAGTTTGATGCTGGCCAACACAGGCATTCGTTAGCTGATGTAATAGAATAACTAGTTTTCTTCTCCAAGCATGTTAAGCTGTCCATTGATGTTGCATAAGGAGCAGATGAAAAGTACAGAGGCGCTTCGCTGTTGTCAGAAGAAAACCTCGCATCCCCATTTTTTACATTTTCCAGTTTTTGACATAATTTGAAAATACCTGTTGCCCTTTACACTGTGTGTAAATTTCATGATGAATGAACTGAAAGAAACAGCCCAAAATGACTTGGAAAAAATTCTGGTTCCATTGACTTACATTAAAAGTAAAGTAATTTTTTTTCCTTCTCCTGTAAAGTTACCGTTTTGGAGATATAAGGTTTTCTTCCAACAACAGCGATATGCTAACCATCACCCTCCCAGCTTGGTAGCATCATATGATAGGGGGAGACCTAACTAGCAGGGGATACTGAAAATGACTAATTGGGTTTAAGTTGGCAACTTGACTTTTGTTTGTTGTAAGCTTGTTTAAGCTTTTTTAATCTTTAACCAGACAAGTCATTCTTATTTTTTTTTAATAATTCTTATGTACAGTGGTGGCCTGGCAAGCAGCAGAGGCCACTTGAGGAAAAGAGAATTACATATATATTGTACTTTTACATTAGTACATTACATTATATTATTCTCATTACGTTTATGTTAATGACTGACTGTATTAGCTTTGGGTTTAATTAAGCATAGATCTCAATTGTATTTGATGCAGGCCTGGCATCAGGGTGTCATTTAGTGTGGCAGTGCCCCACTAGCCAATCATCACGCCATATTAAACTCCACTGCTTCTTTAATATGCTTCTATAAACAATCAAAGTGAAGCTGAATGTCATACATGCTACCTCTGCATGCCGTGCACACCCAATATAAGAGTCTGTGATTAACATGGTTTGAATGAGTTTGAATGCCCCACTCTGTACTGGCTGCACTGTATGTTGTTAGGAAGATAGCAGATTTCCTAAAAGGGTAGATGATTGGTGATTTTCTGCAAATGTGGCTCTCCTTATTTATTCATTTGTTTATGTGGCACATGGATATGCTTATGAATTAGTTCTGGTGCAAGGCCTGATTTGATGAAAGACTATAGGCTTGCCTCTTACTGCTATTTTAATTCTAGATATTTTTTCCAAAAAATCTGTAGTCCGTCATATTATGCCTGATCGCATACTGCACTCCTACTTCAAAAATGACTTATTTAGAGACGTACTGTGGTCTGCAGTACAGGGTTGATTGTACAGAGCCATTCAGTGCATAACTAGTAGACTAGTAGCACAATTTCCGGAGAGAGAGATAGAGAGAGAGAGAGAGAGAGAGAGAGAGAGAGAGAGAGAGAGAGAGAGAGAGAGAGAGAAATTACTAAGAGAGAAAGGTGGACTGAGGTACCAAGAGTGTAAAAATCAGTGGACAACAGAGAGAGGGTAACAGAGGGTTTAAGAAGAGAGAGAAAGAGTGAGGAGAGAGATAGTAAGAGAAAGTACGAATAATCCCAGCTCAGCTGAGAAACAGACATGGCTCTGCTTTGGGTTACTATATTTACACCCAGGGTTTCAGTGAGCTTTGCTCTTCATAGCAGCTTATGTGGGGTCATGACCCCTCTCAGAGACAGCAGTGCAGGTATGGAGACTGGGCCGGCCATTACGGTGGCACCCAGTAAGGGGCATGAACTCAACCAGTGAGCTCAGCCTGTGATTTTCATTTAAAATAGTAAAAAATCTGGCTGCCTTTATACTCAGTTCAACCTCTAATAGTAAGCTAACAAAAATCATAATTTCAAACAGACTAGAGCATTTTCATTTTCTGAGTTTTAAAAGAGCAGAGTGCAACTGTTAGCTAATGTTAGCTGACAGCTAACTGGCTATCATGCACATGAATTTTCTTCATTTCAAGTCCAGTAAAATATTGCCATTTGTTGAAAGCTTCCCAGAAGAGTGTTATAGCTGCAAAGGGGGGACCAACTCCATATTGATGCTTTCAGAAGAAAACCTTTCAAATTTTTCAGTTTTTGTCATAATTTGAAAATGCCTGTTGCCCTTTACATTTTGCATAAATTTTATGATAAATGGACTAAAAGAAATGACCCAAATGGTTCCATTGACTTACACTAAAAGTAAAGTAGGTTTTTTCATTGCCCTGTAAAGTTATCATTTTAGAGAACCATTAAAATATTTGAGTTCGCTTCTAAGAAGGAAGATCTGTGTCCTAAAGTTTCATTCACTCACATCCATGTTACCCACAATATTACACAATCATTATTTCATACTCACAAATCAAAGGTTTATTGATTCTGTTAGAACTGAAGCAATCAGTAATGAACAGTAACAAGAAGACCAGATTGTGGTCTTAACTCTTAGCCCAACTCTGCCCATGTTCAGATGTCCTGATTATGTTATGAAATCATTTTTATGATATTTATGAGATTATTATGATATAGGTTTAGGAATGGGACTCCTGATTGGTGGGTTTCAAGAGCAGAGTTGGGGTTCACAAGAAAGAAAGGAAGAAAGACCAATGTAAAAAATCATGTGTTTAGCTGCTATAAACTCAATTACAAGCCAAGCGCAGTAAGAGACATGCTGTTTTCCACTATAGTGCATCGCTCAATTCTGTGGCCTTGCAGTCTGAAGTTTAAATCTACAATGCCAATGCCATTGCAAATCTGATGAAGGCAGCGGAAGCAGAAACTTGTGTGGCACTGAGGGCAGACAATGTTGGGGCAGCCTTGTCCAGTATGGGTGAGCAGAGCCCTACAGGTGGGACAGGCCCTGAAATAAGGGCATCCATTTACAGAGTATTTAGGGTTATTGATGCGGTTGGTAGAGAGCAGGGCAGCGCGGAGAGCGCAATTGGGCAGGTTGCAGGTAGAGTCCACCGGACAGTCACTTGACCACTCTCTCAGACAGGCCCCACAGAACCGATACACACGGCGCAGCCAGCTGGAACAGTGCAGGCACAAGACACACTGCCCATCCAACTTTTTCACATCTGACTTATGGCAGACTGGACACTAAAGAGGAGGCATAAGAGTTAGACAAATGGAATGTCTGCTGTTATATATCCACTGTTATTCATAATAATGCAGTAGTTGGATAAGTACTGTAACAAAAATGTCTACTTCCACTGGAAAGTCAAGAAAGAATAACTCATATAAGCCTAAGTACTTCAGACTTGCATAATGGTTACAGTAACTGAGTTGTGTTAGGGCTGGGCAACATGACAGTATATATTGTTATCATGATAAATTTTGTCACAATACAATATAATATGCTTTTCTGAACATATCGTGGACATAATCAGTACTTCTAGAACACTGAAAAATGGTATGTTTCTTTATAAAGAGAGCAAAATTAGTCCTGTTTAACTGGATTTAGTGCAACACAATATGCCAAATATTGAATAAAAATCACTGTGTTCACAGTTTTAATAGAATTTTTAAATTGTAGCACTTCTTATTTCTTTGGTCCAGCTGATCAGATGTCTGAAAAAATGAAAATTACGACATATCGTGAAAGAGTTTCTTAAAGTAACGCAATATTACATTTTTGCCACATCGCTCACCTCTAAGTTATTATCTAAATTATTGCATATTCAGTATATGTGGTTGGTTTTTGACAGTTTCAGTCAAGGCAAATGATCTCAGTCACCAGGTTTGGAACGTCTTCCAGCATATTCTCACTTGCTTCCGTTGGCTGCGTGTACATAATCTCGGCTAATGGGGAAAAGGAGCAGGACCTGGGCCCGTGTGGCCGTGGAAAATTGCGTCACAGCTAATCACAGCCCCTGACACAGTGTGCTAAAATAGCTGCTAATAGCATAAATCCCCCTGCAGTTCTCTACTGGACTTAGAGCCTGAAATAGAGCGTGTGCGAAATGTCTGACGTCACACTGAGGACAGCGCTGTTACGTAGCTTTAGCTTTAGCCTTAGCCTTAGGCCTACCTTTGGCACAGAGGCAGAACCACTCATGATGCCGATCTTTCTGGACTGTATCTACACCTAGAGAGAGAGAGAGAGACAGAGAGAGACAGAGAGAGAGGGGGGGGTTAGGCTGAAAAAGAGAAATACAAAAAGACAGACACATATATATCAAGGTGATTCAAATAGAAGGAGAGGGCAAAGGAAGAGAACTGAGAAACACAGCAACAGAGAGATAAAAATGAGAGCAAAAAAGAAAGTCAAAAAGAGAGAAAAGCAAAAAAATGAAAAAGGGGAAGAGACAAAGCTATAGGGAGGGCGAAAAAAAGAAATAAACAGAGAGAAAGGAATACAAAGAGATATGATATGGTGATTTATAGGTGAGGCAGACAGAAAGAGAGAGAAAGGCTGAGAGAGTTAGAGAAGAAGAGAGACAGAAATAATGATAGGAAATTTATGAAGAAAGAAAGATATGTAGAGAAAAGAGGGATAGAAGGAGAGATTGAGATGATATTTACTGCGTATGTAGCGTGATTAGCAGAAAGGCACATGGTCTTTCTCTTTCACAGTCTTTCTCTAACACGCCAATTTCACTTTCTCTTACAGGATCATTTACTGTGAGACTGCAAAGAACATGAATCCTAGCACATAATCACAGCACTGCAGTTCTGAAAGAGCCTTAATGTACTTCACATTAGATCAAATGACAAGAAATGTGACAGCCATTCCATAACAATGGCCTTATTTGTGCTACAGAGCGCCATACAATCACAAACGGCTGAAAAGCAGTAAGAATCTCTCAGACGAAGCAGAAGCGAGAGAGAGAGAGAGAGAGAGAGAGAGAGAGAGAGAGAGAGAGAGAGAAAGAGAGAGCAATTAAGGACTCAAAGCTGGTACCTGTACACCTCTTAAATCCTCAGAGCAGACCCACTTCAACACACAAAGCTTCGTCTGTGTCAGGTGTGAAATGCTCAAACAAGGTTTCTAGTTTGTTTTTGTATCGCTGGGGAAATGACTTACAGTGAGGGGAATTCCGCTGAGCACACTTTCACTTTCAGAACTGACTGAACACATTTGTGTGAATTTGTTATTAAATTGTTTGTGTTGGGTTCCACAGGTTTCTTATGGACATTGTGGAGTCAGTTTGGCCTAAATATGTGTTTCTGCTGAAAGATATTCTAATTTTATTCTAAATTCCAGCTGGGCTTTGCTGGACATGTTAACTGTCCCGTTATTGGAGGGAAAGCAAAGAAAAACAGGCCTGACCTCCTCATCAATAGTGGTAAAATGCTCCAGGCACAGTAAAGTGCTTTACACAGACTGACTTTCTTTTTATGCACGTTGAGGTTAAGGTTAGGTTTGGGGGTTAAGCTTTGAAGAGTACATGTAAATACTAAATATTGAACATATCGTTATTATTTTATTCATGTGTATTTACAAACAGCACATATAGGATGCATTATAATCTCATATAGGTACTTACATGTCGGTGCTGTCAAAGCAAAACATTGGAGTTTTATTTTTGGCTTATTTATGTATGCATGTATGTATGTATGTATTTATTTATTTATTATAGTATTGTGTGTTAGTATTGTGTTAAAAGAGGAGTTGTTTAAAAAAAAATGACTTTTTGGGGGTGGACATCCACTGATGTGTATAAAAACCACAACACTTACCAGCATCGCACACTACCATGTCAGTGTCACTGTGCTGAGAATGATCCACCATGAATGATCCATCCCCCCCAAATAATGCCTGATCCACTAAATATATTAGATGTAATAATAATATCATATTGATGATGGTCCGCCACCCATATAATACCTGATCCGCTAAATATATTGGATAACATCATAATAATATAGTGTTGATAATGGCCTATCACCCAAATAAAACTCTGTGACCACAAACTGACTAATGATGAATGGAGGGCTACAGTCTTACTGATTCACCTAGTGGACCTATAAGACAGGTGGAGCTCATGAAGTGGACAGTGAGAGTGAGTACAAAGATTATGGTTTCTGAAATCCATTACTTCCATTCGTTTGACCTCATCTCCTGGTCTTATTTCACCAGACTGTTGTCACACTCTGGTCTGCACTTTTCTGACGGGCTGGGTTTTGAAATATGTTCAGGGTTTCGTGGTGTGGTGACTCCTTAAGGATTTCAGCTCTTTAGATTATGAAATAAACGGCTGATGCCATCTTGTGTTTACAATGCTGAACTGCAGCTGTTCAGTCATTTTTGTTCATATAGAACACTTTCTGTTCTTCACAAATCTTGGACCATTATAATGTATTTTTACTGTGTAGTTGATCATCATAGTTTGTAGCTTAATGTGATCAATAAAGGATTACACTAAATCACAAATGATTATAAAACCTAGTCATGCCATGATTGATTCAGATGTAACAAGTTCCTGAACTGAAGTTAATCCTCTTTAGTTTAAAGCTATTTCTACTTTAGTTAAAGGCAGTCGTGTTTTGTTTAAAGTTGATCCTGTTTTAGTTAGTAATCCTGTTTCAGTTCAAATCAATCATGTTTTAGTTATTTAACCCTGGTTTAGTTAAAGTTGATCATGTTTTGTTTGAAGTTAGTCTTGCTTGACCATTCCAGCTTTGTTAAAGTATGTTTTAGATAAAGTTTGTTTTGTTTTGTTAAAAGTTAGCCTTGTTTTGTTTAACATTTCTCCTGTTTTGATTAATTAATTCAGTGCTGTTTCTTTAGTTAGTACAAGCTAATCATGTTTTGGTTAGAGTTTATCATGTTGTAGTTAGTCTTGTTTTAGTGAATTAGTCTTGTTTTAGTTAAAGTTAGTCCTGTTTTAGTTGATGCTACACCTGATTTATTCAAGGTTAATCCTGTCTTAGTTATAGTTATTATTAAGTTTGTCCTGTTTTAGTTGAGGTCAGACCTGGTTTATGTAAAGTTAGTCCTGTTGTAGTTGAGGTCAGACCTGATTTATGTAAAGTTAGTCCTGTTGTAGTTGAAGTTTGTCCTGATTATTTCAAGTTAATCCTATTTTAGTTGAAGCTAGACCTGATTTATGTAAAGTTAGTCCTATTTTAGTTGATGCTAGACCTGATTTATTTGAAGTTAGCCCTGTTTTAGTTGAAGTTAGACCTGATTTATGTAAGGTTAGTCCTGTTTTAGTTAACCTTAGACCTGATTTATGTAAGGTTAGACCTGATTTATTTATAGTTAGCCCTGTTTTAGTTGAAATTAGACCTGATTTATGTAAGGTTAGTCCTATTTTAATTGAAGTTAGACCTGATTTATTTAAAGTCAGTCCTGTTTTAGCTAAAGTTAGACCTGATTTATTTAAAGTTAGAGCTGTTTTAGTTGAAGCTAGACCTGATTCATTCAGTTAGTCCTGTTTTAGTTGGTTAGACCTGATATTTAAACATATGGCTGTTTTAGTTAAAGTTAGACATGATTTATTTAAAATTAGTCACACTTTATTTAATGTTTGTCATGTTTTAGTTAAAATGAGTCTTGTTTTATTTCAGATTATTCATGTTGTATTTAAATTAAAGAATTTACATATTTACCAAATTGACAGTATTATAGCTGTCATAGTAAAGCTGATTACACTATAGCTGTACATCTCTGTGTCATATGAATATCAGCTGTCTGTACTCTGTACTGTAGCTGCACTGACTAACAGTGCTGTGTATCTAATCCAGCAGAATTGAGCTCTTTGTCTGCTGTTCTGAACATCGTGCTACGCGCGTGTGACATTCTCTGGCTCCTGAGCGCGTGTTGAGGGAGTGAGTGTGTGTGTTTGGAGAAAATTATCAGCATGAGACTCAAACATGTAGCGCACAAACAGAAACACCTGAGACTTACTCACCAGCAGAGCCGCCAGATAACACAAAAGCAGCAGAGAAAGAGAAAAGCCTGCAGCACAGAAATAGAGAGACGGAGAGGAATGAGGACACACAGGTTATCAACTTAAGAAACACTTTACTCCAGATTCAGCTGATGCTCACAAGAGTATCACCGGCATTACATCACAAGATCAATGATAGCAGGAAACTGAATAGAAGGATAGTTTTATCTTTCACTGCCCACATTACCCAACGTACAGCCCCATAACACCTGAATGCTTTCAGCTACACTCTCGAAATGTGTTCATTTATATGGGTGATTTTGTTCACTATATATGAAAAAGAAAATTGGAACAATAGTGGAACCCTTTCTGGTGCTAAACAGAACCATTTTAAAGAAAGGTTATACAACAAAGAAAGCTATGCAGCAGGTAGAACCATGCAAAGATCCATTAAAAGCATTCTAAGCGTTCTTTGAGTTGCTATGTTTCTGCTCAGTCGGAAGTAAAAGTGTTGGCGCCCGTGGACATGTTATGTTGATTGTTTTATTTGCTGAATTAAATATTTTAAAATAAAAGAAATAAAACATAAAACATGGCCTGTGCAAAAGCTATGGCACATTTTATATTCCAATGTTAAACTCATCAAACGAATAGAAACTGTGTGACACTTTATTCTGAGTGGTCTTTTTAGATGAAACAAACACTCAACAGACTCTCTGTAACAAAGACATATGAGGGTTATGATTAGGTTTTGGGCCAAGGTTAGGGCTAGGATTAGGGCCAGGGTTTTGGGTAATGGAAGTAACATATTAACAATACATCTACTTAATGTAAGTAATGTATCAACAGAACATCTACAAGACATTTACTTCAGTGTATTCAGATGCTTCACTACTGCTACTTCACTGATATGTTGTTGATGTGTTATTAATAATCTGTTAAGAGGTTATTATCAACCAACGACCACTCCAAATACAGTGTTACCACAAATTGTGCACTAAAATTTGCATAAAAATGCTGTATTTAAGTGTGTTCTGTGTGGAGCATGTGCTAACATAATTTCACTTAGGAAATCAACAAAAAAGTGTCATTTGACCAGGGGCACCCAAACGTTTGTAATTGAATCTGCATACCTCTGCATTTATAGAAGCCTTGATGAACCTCTTTTTAAAGGATGTTCCATCAAGACTTTTCAAGGAACTCAGTTTTTCTAGAAAGTCTGTAAATATGTGCATTCAGTTACAAAGTAAGCTGTAAGTACAGTAACCTGGTGCTTATTAATGCTGCAAAATAAAAAACAGTCATTTCCAGGGATACTGAATTTAAAAAATGGCTTTCTCGGTCAGGGTGTGTCCCACATGACTAAACACACTTCCCCATATACTGGAATTTCTTGAATCCTTAATGCCTAACAAAGCTATATCTTTAATCTACCTTGCTTTTCAGGGTAAAAACGCTGTCACAGTGGTGCTTTCTTCAAGGGCACTCATTTAAGGTAAACAATTAGACCCTGAGGGCCATGCTGTACCCGTGAGGGTACATTTCCATTGTTCTTGCCATGGGGGACTACACTTTCCTGGCAGTGTAGAAACATCTACCTATACATGCTTTGAAGGAAAATTCCAAGCATTTTTCACATGTCTGCATAATTGAGATGTTGGGGTGTATACAATGTCATTCAGAATGGTTTAATGTGAAATCCGCTTTCCTAGAGAAACTTGTCTGATTGATGTCACAGATTCTCAACAGTGGTGGTGATAGGAACCAGGGGTCACGATGTCTGCAACACAAATATAGCCATTTTATTCCCTATCCAAAACTACCAGAAACCTTACAGAGGTTTTATGTGTAATGTTGTAATGGTAAGAAAATGGTGAAAAAAATGTTTTTTGGGGAACTACATTACCTTAGAACACCCTGAATGTTCCTCTCCAGGCCGGATTTTTTTAATTTATTTTTTTTAATTATGTTTTAGCACAAAATCTTATGATAAAACAACGTCTCAAGCGTCAGACAGCCATTTCATATAATAACTTAAAGTGAGGCAGCTTTTTAGAGGCATTAAAACTCTTCAGACATCTGGTTCCTATCAGCACCACTGTGAACAGTTCTGACTCTAGAAGGGAGCATTTCACATAAAACCACTCTAAACGGCTTTGTTTACATCTTAACGACTCAATTATGAAGAAAATGTGAAAAAATAGTGAACAAAACTGTAGATTTTTTTGCTGCTTCATTTTCTCCTCAGGGCTTTTTTTCCCATTAGCAAACAGGAGTTACATTTTTCGCCTTAGCAAACATGAGTTCACTTATAGGCGGAGGCGGAGTTAATATTCAAACCGCAGTGTTGTGATTCGCTAACGCCACCCACTACGACGCGCGGCTGGCGCGGCTGGCGAATAGCAGAGCGGGTTGTGGACGCGGTGGGCGCGAGTCTCAGTGAACCCGGTTTAAAGCTGAAATGTGAGAAGTTTTCCGCGGTGGCTGCTAAAAGCGACATTAGGGGTGAGTGACCATGGCTGAAGCTGATGGGTGCTACGGGTTCCTGTGCTTCCTGGGCGGCTGCACGGCGCTGTATTACCTGCTGAGGTGGTCGTGGGGTTGCTGGAAAGGGTTCAAGACCTACGTGCTGTCCAAATTTTGGCGCACGGATGTGAGAAATTTCGGCCAGTGGGCAGGTAAGGCAGTTATCAGGTGATGTAGCGTATTTGTAGCAACTGAGGTGAATTAAATCATAACCATTTCTGCTTTTCATCTTTTTTCCTTCAGCCCTCAGAGCCTCAGGTGTAAAACGCTCAGCTACCTGATAATCACACAGTAATAGCAACTGAAGTCTCTGGTTGTTTACATTCTCACATGAGGATTCGTAGAATTTATTGCAATTAGAAAAAAGCATAATTGAATCATTAAGATGTAAACAAAGGCATTTAAAGTGGTTCCAGTGAGGAATACATAAAGGGGAATTCCACCGACTTTTTCACCGATTTTTTTTTGGCATAATTCCGTCGTTGCGATGTAAACAAAGTCACTCAGAGTGGACTGATGTAAAATGGCTAGTTGTAAAGAAAGTTACAGGTTCAGGTTTTCTGACAGTGGTGCTGATAGAAAACCAGGGGTCCTGATGTCTACAACACAAATATAGCCATTTTATTTACTGTCCAAATCCACCAGTGAACCTCCACGTCTTCTGAGGTTTTTATGTAATGTTGATGACAGTAAAGTCAGAAATCTTAAAAAAATAAGTTTCCTTTGGGGACTATTTTGCCTTAGAACAACCTTCGTGCATCCATTCACTGCGCATAGAATAAAATAAATTGATTAACAAGTCATTTTAGACCAAAACTTCATCACAAAACTATTGTAAAACATGTCTCAGACATCAGGCGTTTTCATAGCCGTTTCATGTATTAGATTTCTGTGAGGGAGCTTTTAGACGTGGACGTCTGGTTCCTATCACCACCTCTGAGAACAATTCTGACTCTGTAAGTTTGTCTAGAGCGAAGTCTTTCACATCAAACCACTCTGAAAGACTTTGTTTACATCTTGGCCATTTAATTATGTGGATGTAGCACGGCATGTGCTACCCCGGGCTCAAGGAGGACGCTGGTTCTTCAGATTGATGGAGAATGTGTTGTATGTCGTTCTATACAGCACCAAAAAGGGTTCTTCTGTTGTTACAAGCTTGACATCGTAACAATAGCAGAACCCTTTTTGGTGCTATATAGAACCATTTTCAAGGAAGTTCTATTTAGAACTATGTACAGGACATTCTCCATCAATCTGAGGAACCCTATTCAAAAATGTTCTATTTAGCACCATCCTCAGTTCATTCTCCATCAGTATGAAGAACCCTTTCGTGATGCAAAGAACCCTTTAATCATGCAAAGGGTTCTTTGAGTGTTCATAGCTCTATATAGAACCATTCTCTTTACTAAAGAACCCCTGAAGAACCGTCTAAGTGTGTATCACTGCTACTAGTACCACTACTACTACTAATGATGATGATACTAATAACATTATTTATACAGTGTAAATTCAATTAGTTGACAACTAATTAAAAAAAAAAAAGTCACGCAAACTTTCTGCCTCGAGACAATTAAGTGGAGGCAGGATTCAGTGTTGCAGCAGCCATGTTTTATTCTCACACCAAATAAAAACAAACTCAAACAAACCAAAACCAACGATACACTGGCCACTTTTCAGTGGCTTAAGCTAGACTTCTCAGTCCAAAGCTTTTCAAAGTAAGCTTTTCAGCTCCGTCCTCAGTCTGTTGTTGTTGTCGTTGTTGTTGTTGTTGTTGTTGCTGCTGCTGCTGCTCGTCCCTCTCTCTCGCTCTGTTCCCTCTCAGCTCTTTTTAAAAGGCGTTCAAGCTGCCAGCCAGATCAGCATCAGCTGGCTCTCATTGAGCACCCGAGCCGAGAGGGAACGAGAGCTCGCTGCTCCGCCTGCTCGTCACCGCCCTCAGCCCGCAGCTCAGCCGCACGGGTCGAACATGAGGTGTAGTCGAGCAGCCTCGCTGCGGAGCAGGGGTCGGGGCCCGGGCGGCGGAGCTCGGGACTCGCTCCTTGCCCTCGTGGCCGGCGCCGTCGTCCAAGCTTAAATAACTTTACACTGGAGAAACTGTTACTCTCTTTCAGTTTCAGTGATCCTCATCTCTTCAGCACTGCAGGTTCACTCCAACAGCCCAGAAATTTCTGCTTAATCTTGAATTAGTTATGAATCAATACACAATACAATGGTATCAATTGAAACAACTTCATTATTTTAATAGATTGTTTCATACGGTAATGAACCTCATCAGATAGAACCAGAGGCTTACATTTCTGAGGCCTCAAGTGGCTTCATGCATCTTTGCCATTGTGTTCAGAAACTGTATGAGGGTTGATATTTACCACTTGATATCTTTCCTGGCTGTAGGCTGAACTGATAAACCTAAACACAAAACACCATCATGATGAGATGTTAAATGCATTCAAACGGATCAGTAATTAATCATATCACATTATTGATTAACCAGTATTTTTCAAAGGGGAATTCCACAGTCTTTTCAACATTTCTCTAATTTATTTACATTTCTTGAGTTGTAATCAAAGTCACTCAGAGTGGTTTGATGTGAAATGGTTCATTGTAAAGAAACTTGCCAAGTTCTTGTTGTGACAGGAACCAGGGGCCACAATGTCAGCAACATAAATATGGCCTTTTTCTTTACTATCCAAAACCACCAGTGAGCCTACACCGGAGTGGTTATGTTCAGTTTTGATAATGGTGGTAAGTAATGGAGGTAAATCTGAAAAATATATTTCTTTGGGGACTGTGTTGCCTTACAACATCCTGCATGTACGACTCCACCATAAAATTGTAAAAAAAAAACACATGTTAAGCCAAAAAAACGTCATTTCTAAACTATCGCAACACATTGTGTCATGCATGAGGAAACTTGATGGCAGCAGTTTCATATAGTAGCTTCCTGTGGTGTAACTTGGCATTTGGTACGCTTCAGACATCTGATACCTATAAGCACCACTGTGAATAATTCTAAATTATTGTTACATAATAAATAAAGCAGTACATTAAATAATAAAATGCAATTAAAATGCATTAACTTTTTATTTCCTGCACATATACGTTTCTGATCATTTTTGGTGTTAAGGCTTATAACTTATATGTTTTTTTTTTTTCTTAAATTGAACTTTTATCTTAACTGTGGTGGCAGGATACGGGCTGCGGGGCCTATTTATTTATTGAGTTATTAATTTATTTATTGAGTTCACTAAATGTTTATTATTTATTGAGTTGTCACATATTCAAGGGGAAATTGTTCATTTAATCTTAGCGTCTGCAGTGGCCTGGCGCCAGTCTTGAGTCACCTTAGGACTTGTGGCTTGGGGCACCATGAGGCCCCTCGGCACTGGCCCCACTGGCCCGATTTGTATTGCTTCTCTGTGTGCAGCTCATATGTGCTCTGTATGCACTCTTAGCTGTCTGAGGACCCCAGCTTTACTACACTGTGTACAACATGTAAAGATATAGGCAGATATGACAAATCTGTCTAGCTAGCTTTCAGTAGCAAGCTAGCAATGCTTAAACTACTCAAACATTCTGCTAACCCACAGGAAGGAATAAACAGCTATCGACATCACAACACTGAGCTTAAATTTTTTTAAGGATAGATTTTTTAAAGGACTCAATCGGAGTCATTCATTTCGTTTGTTTTTTCACTCTGACATGTGATCCGGCATTTTCTGTTGATATCATTCTAATACTGATACCCAGTCTGGGAACTGGTGCCATCTCTATTAACTACTGTGAAAGTGAGTTCTTCAGTTATAAGAGAAAGAAACTGATGAGTGGACCCACATATGGAGTTTATATTTGAATGGTTTATAAACCTTTTACACTTCTTGTCTTTCCACAGTGGTCACTGGAGCGACGGCGGGGATCGGTCAGGCCTATGCCATGGAGGTCAGTGGTGTCCTTATTTTCATGCTTTCTTAGAATTGGCCTTGTTACCTCTAGGTGGGTGTAATGGCCCTCCCTCTCCTGCATCACTCAGCGCAATGCTAACCAATGCAGGGTTCTTTTAGCTGAATTGGCAGTTAGCCTTCTCCACCAAGCGTGCTGAGCCGTTCAGGGATTAGGCTTCAATCACCCAGCTTGGAAGTATCATGTGATTAGGGAACACCCAGCCAGTAGGTGGAATTGGACAGGACTAAACTGAAGAGAAAATTATGTAAAAAAAAAAAAAAAGTGTAAAATGATATGAATATACTATTTTTGTGTGTTTCAAACCATTAATAGAACAGAGCTGTATATGATTGTAAAATGACTGAGAAAGCTGTATAACATAGCAAATGGAGCCATGATGTAAGTATTATCCAAAATGCCTCGTATTTCAAAAGTCAATGATCAAATTTGAAGACAGGATTGTCTAACAATACCTTTTGATGTATCATTTAAAATATTTAAATCTATGCTACACATCTGTTGGATATATAAAGTAATAATGATTGTTAAAGCTGCACAATGTAAGATTTTTACCAATTATTATAACTGAAAGCCGTAGCATTACTGAGTCAAGAGAGAAAAAAAAAAGTTTTTCGGTCTACGTTTTTACATATTAAGGTCAAACACATAGGCTCAAAAACATTATACTGATAAAGATATGATGACAATGGTAGATAATTCACATCCTTCACCAAGTTTTCAAGTTTTCTTTGAATTCTCTTTCAACTTGCAGTCATCAGATTTGTCCCCTCAGGCAGGCGGTCCGAAGCGCAACCCACGTTACAAAATGTTCTTCCACACGTTACTTGCAGTTACCCATTTCCACCAGAGAGGTCTCCAAATTCCCAAATCTTACGTAGTGTAGCCTTAATATCACAAGTGAATTCCGAGTGTATCTATGGGCTCTGTCAGAACAAGCAGGGTCAGAACAAGCCTCTGACCTGTCTCCCCGCACAAAATGGCTTTTGGCATCTCATGTGTTTTGCTCCCAATCGCCCCAGGCCAGAAAAAATGGAAACAGAAGCTTATTTTTATTTATGTAGTGAGAAAATATTTTTAGAACAAAGTGTTCTCAGAGACATGATACTGAGAAAGACACATTTCCATTAAGCTCCTGGAATATTCCTCTGATACATAGTGCTAAATAGAGTGAGAATAGAACATGCAAACATATAATCTTATGGGAGAACACAATCCTAAGAAAAGTCTCATGTAATGTTTGATTTTCAGTTTTACTTTTCAATTACACAAGCAGAAATAGTCACACAGGTTGTGTTAGCATGAAACAGCATATTAAAACTCTTTTGGCCCAAATGTGGTTTATACAGCTGACAGATCTGAGTGCTAATGAGTGCTGACATCACCACAAGACGATGAAATGAGTGGACTTTGGCATTTTCTTTTGGCAGAATCTTTCCAGCTTCTCTATGTAATATGTAATTTCAAAACAGTAAAGAAAACATTCTTACTCCTATTAAAACGCTGAAAAAAAGTTGTTAGCATGAAACAGCATATTAAAACTTTTTTGGCCAAAATGTGGTTTATACAGCTGACATTTTTCCTACTTCTTCTTGACAAAATCTAACCAGCTATGTCATTTTGAAACAGTAAAGAAAACATCCTTACTTGTATTAAAACCATGTAAAAAAGCTGTCCCCAAACTTGTGACAGGCACTGTCTATTTTGGGAACAGTCTCAGATTACTAGTTGTACTACTGTGTTGTAAGCTGAAATAGAGCTGCTCTAAAATCAACATGTCCCTGCACCTGCACTTCTGTAGCCTGCGGCTCTGAACAGAACATCTCAGTTTACAAACACTCCTCCCCTGAGTAATACTGTTCCACAGAGCGCCTGAATGGAACAGATAAACAGTGCTTTTGTTTCTGTTTTATGTGCACATATGCGTGTTAGCTGGCAAGACGAGGCTTGGATGTTGTTCTGATCAGCCGTTCAGAGGAGAAGCTCCACAGCGTTGCCAAAAAAATAGGTGAGTGACAGTCAAGAAAACATGGGTGGGGACTGCATCCTTCTGAGTCATGAAGTATTACAAAATCGTCTATAAACATTATAGTAACAGTTTTGTCATCCATTATAGTCGAAAGGCCCAAAAAACTCTTTCTGTAGAAAGCCATGTTCCTCTCAAATCTCACAAGCTAGTAACCTCCAAAATAGAGAAAAGCCTAAAAAGGTTTGTTTCAAAGTGGGGTTTATATCACAGCGAGGGGATAAAATCCATGGGAAATGTTATTATTAAGGTACTACAGACACAAATATTATCGCAAATAAATTTCCAATATGTTAAACTGACAAAGAGAACTTGTTCACTTATGTTAAAAGCATTTTGAAAACTAGATGTCTGTGATGATAGATGATGAGATGATGAGTGCACAGTCATATGCAGAAGTTTGGGTCAAACAACATGTTGAAAATCAAAAACATGTAATTTTACCTGGGGACAAAAACATTTGTGTAAGACCGTATATCGACTAGCATTAGTTGATATTAACATTGTGTGTTTTTGTCCTAGAGTCACAATTTGGACGACAGACGCGTGTCATTCAGGCTGATTTCACTGAAGGCGACTCCATCTACCCAGTCATCGCACAGCAACTCAAAGGCCTGGAGATTGGCATTCTGGGTAATACAATGAGTTAAAACTCTTCGATTATTATAGATTAGAACCTTGTGATTATACTGTTAAAAACATTAACGTCAGCATCCAAGCTGCTGAAAATACATATTGTAATGTCGAATGACCTCCAAGAGCTTTGCCACAACACAGTCCCTTCATCATTCACTTTATTAGAGACTGTAGCTTATCTGTTGAGGCTACAGTTTGTGTCAGCCTCCTCTAGCCCTTTATCAGTGGTCAGTTTCTGACTATAGAGGTGCTTATGGCTGGATTTGTTTGGGCAGTGGACCACTCTCAACCTTGCAGTGACACTGATGTGTGTGACACTGCTGCATTTATGCCAGCAAAATAGTATTTGGTCAGCAGCATCATGAACGGGGTAGAGGGGGGTGGTAGATTCTGCAACAACAGATGAACTATGGTCTGTAACTGTACACCTACTTAGGGGATGTATAAGGTAAGGGCTTCTTATAGTTAGTGGACATTTTTGTGTTTTAATAAAGTGGACAGTTTATGGACGTACAATTCAGGAGTTTCTAATAAAGTGGACAGTTTATGGACGAACAGTTGAGGTGTTAGTGGATGGTTACTCACTTGTAATTCCAGTTAGTGGAAGTACAAGTGAGGTGTTAGTGGATGGTTACTCACTTGTAATTCCAGTTAGTGGAAGTACAAGTGAGGCGTTTCTAATATGGATGTACAAAAGAGGTGTTTCTAAAGTAGATTTACTTACCTATGAGGCGTTTCTAATTAACTGGACAGTTAGTGGAAGTACAAGTGAGTTATTTCTAATAAAGTGGCCAAATAGTGGGCATACAAGTTAAGGTGTTTCTAATAAAGTGGCCAGTCAGTGGACATACAATTCAGGTGTTTCTAATAAAGTGGACAGTTGGTCAAAGTACAAGTGAGGTGTTTTTAAAGTGGATAGTTAATTTACATACATATGAGGTGTTTCTAATTAACTGGACAGTTAGTGGAAGTACAATTGAGGTGTTTCTAATAAAGTGGACAGTTTGTGGAAGTACAAGTGAAGTGTTACTGATAACTTGCAATTTAGTGGATGTACAAGTGGGATGTTTCTAATAAAGTGGCCAGTTAGTGGATGTACAAGTGAGTTATTTCTAATAAAGTGGCCAGTTAGTGGAAGTACAAGCGAGGTGTTTCTAATAATGTGGCCAGTTAGTGGAAGTACAAGCGAGGTGTTTCTAAAAAAGTAGACAGTGAGTGGAAGTACAAGTAAGGTGTTTCTAGTAAAGTGTACAGTTAGTGGAAGTACAAGTAAGGTGTTTCTAGTAAAGTGTACAGGTAGTGGAAGTACAAGTAAGGTGTTTCTAGTAAAGTGTACAGGTAGTGGTAGTACAAGCGAGGTATACTTTCTTACTGAAATACACCTGGCGAGTGTATTTTTATTTGTAAACAATAATTTATCTTCAAGGTTTTAAGGCAGCTTGTATAAACTTCAAATACCAAACATGCTACTTGTGTGAACAACTTTAAGATGTGTTTTAATATGTGTTTATCATCATTAACAATCATTAACAAATAGGTGATGAGCAAAGAGAAGGAAAGTAAGTGCAAAATCACGTCTTCACCTTTTCATCTTGACCCACATGCTCTCGCTATCTCCACAGTAAACAACGTTGGTATGAATTATGCTGGAAAGCTTGTGCATTTTTTGGATGTTCCTGACCCAGAACAGGTACAGTGACATGACAGCTACTGTATGTTGTGTGTGTGTGTGTGTGTGTAACTAATGGCACTGAGTTCTGTGTATATCTGTGCTCACCTTTTCAGAGAATCACTGAAGTGATCAACTGCAACATCCTGTCTGTTGCGCAGGTACAGATCTGTGTGTTTACTGCATCACTCCGACAGTTTGTTCGGTACTGAGATGAAGGATTGTTACTGTAATCATGCTGACAATAATGTGATTGGTTTTGTCTTTATGTAGATGAGCAGACTGATTTTGCCACACATGGTTGAAAGGTACACATTCAGTTTTGCTCTGAACGTATCAGATTTGCATCAAAGCGTGACTGCTGGTGTTACATGGTATTTGTATCTATGTGTAGAGGTAAAGGACTTATCATTAACATATCATCAGAAGCTGCTTCTCAGCCACAGCCGTTGGTCACAGTATACTCTTCTACAAAGGTAACACCCGACACATGCATGCACATAAACACATTTAGGTTTAATATGTACAGAACCATTTCTTTTGGCTATAAGTGTGTTTAGCCTGTAAAAAAACAAACAGATATAAATACAGTAAAAAGTAAGAAAAAAAATCTTATTTTGAAAAAAATGCGACTAAGTTAAACGCCTACGTTAAAGAACAGATACATAAATTGACTATTTATCATATTAATGATATTTGTATGTATTGTGAAGTGCTTCACTGAGAAGACAAATGCTTAAAATGTATTTTTACAATTTCATTTTTGTTCTCGGGTGTCTAAAACAAAGCTCTGTATGTATACGTAAAGTCATGCAAAGAATTTGGCACCCTTGGTCAAGTGACCTGTTGAAATATTTTACTCTCTACGGAGAACACACTTCTGCACGTTGGAAAACACAATTACTGCTTATTTACTAAATTTAACATACATACATCATCTAAACCACTTATCCTTCTGGGTCACGGTGGGGTGCTGGAGCCTATCCCAGCTGTCATTGGGCGGAAGGCAGGATACACCCTGGACAGGTCGCCAGTCCATCGCAGGGCAGACAGATAGACATACATATACAATCACACACATATATTCACACCTAGGGGCAATTTAGCGTGTCCAATTGGCCTGACTGCATGTCTTTGGACTATGGGAGGAAACCCACGCAGACATGGGGAGAACATGCAAACTCCACACAGAAAGGACCCTGGTCGCCCGGCCGGGAATCTAACCCAGGCCCTTCTTGCTGTGAGGCGACAGTGCTACCCACTGCGCCACCGTACCGCCTAAATTTAACATACTGGGGAAAAAACAAAAAAACTAAATGTGGTCTGTGCCACAAGTTATGCTATTTTATATTTGTTATGCAAATAAATAGAAACTGTGTATAAAAATTACACAGCTAGGGCACCAGGCTGTCACCAGTCTATCAAGAAATATTTTGGGAGAGCTTTATATACACTGAGAACTGCAGAGGAGGAAGGATGAAGATATGAAAGGAGATGTAGGGGTAGAGATTAGGATGGACGAGGGGGATGATTGCTATCACCTCGTCATGAGACAAAGGGTCATTTCAATACAAACAAAGGAGTGAGTTGACAAGATGAGAGTGTGACAGTTAAGGCCATTTGCTAAAACTCTACAATATACATGGCTGAGACCTTAAGAAAGTAACATATAAGGTAAAATAACATGTTCAGAGAATAACATTAGAAGGGAAAGTACTGTATGTTGAGAATATTTTCTCTCTCCACGTTGAGGATTAACATGTGTTAACATATCTTCTCCTATAACATCAACAAAACATGTCATTTGACCGGTGGTGTTTAAACATTTGCATGTGACTGTATGTATGTATGTATATATTATCACATATTTCTTTTCTTGTCTTCTCCATCCCAGATATTTGTGACATATTTCTCTCGCTGCCTGCATGCAGAATACAGGTCACGAGGAATCACTGTTCAGGTAGGTTGCTTTAAAAAATCAGGCTTTGCTGACTGCCACAGTTTATAGCTATGTAATGTACTTTTGACCATTTTTATAGATAACATATGTCATACAGTGTCGGAAACTACACTAGCAAGTCTGTTCGAGATTACTGAACAACTGATTGCAGTGTGAGGCAAGGGTGTGATGACTTAGGCTGCAGTTCACACAATGCTAATCGGTGGATATGTGCTTCCATAAGTTGTTAGCTGTATTAGCCTCGTAGCTCCAGTGCAAAACCAAGGAGAAAACTGCTAACACCAAACATGTTTTACCTCTCTGACCTCACTGTTTTAGTGGAAAGGTGGAAAATGGTGTACATTTGATTTTTGGAATTTGTAAAGCTGTTCTTTTAATGTAAATTAAATCTTCAACACCAAAACTCATTTTTCAAAGGCATCTTTACTAATCTCTCTCTCTCTCTCTCTCTCTCTCACTCCTCTGCAGTGTGTGACTCCTTTTGTTGTAAGCACTAATATGACCTATAATATAGCAGTGAGTCCTATGGTGTTGAGTGCAGCTTCGTTTGCCAAAGACGCTCTCAACACTGTGGGCTACAGCTCATTCACCAGCGGCTGCCTCACACACGCACTACAGGTACCCACGCAGCTCTCAACACTATGGCTGGTGTTGCAGCTCCTGTCCAGGATTTTCCAGGATTGTCCCAGAGTCTGGTTTCAAAATATTCTGAAATCTCAGCTTTTTAATAATGCTCCTCATTTATATGCAAAAAAATGGGTTTAGATTACCCTTAATTTAAGGACTGTTGTTAGGTGCACTGTTAGTGTCGTTATAGACAATGAGCTGCGCTGCAGTGCAATGCAATAACTGAGAGGATTTCCAGATAGCAAATGAGTGATGGCCCAATTCTGGCCCACACTTACTACTTTCATTTGGGCCGAAAGTACTACAAAGACCCTAACACTGTTAGGCCACAGAAATCATGTATAAAGAGTTAAACGTGTAGCCTAGACACGTTTTCAACTTTTACAGCTATACAAATGAGAAGCTAACTTCAGCTGTGCTTATGAGGAGTTGGTTTGTTTATGTGACTGATAAATGCTGATCTAGGCTGATGGGAAAATGTGCAAATTGATTTACTGGTTCATGCATTTTTACAGCTATTTAGTTATAATTCACCTCTGAATATATCACAGGACGAATGAGGGAGTAGGAATCCATTTCAGTCACTGAGTTATAACCCCTCTTACGAACACTGTGAATGTAGACTATTATTCAAATATTTGGAAACACTTGTCATATAAAAATTGTGTTTTTTTTATATTTATTCATTTTAGATGCTTTTTGTTCAGCTGAAATGATCTGAAGCTGTAATCATCTATAAAAAAATGAAGTATGTTACATGTGCAAATAACCAAGCCCTCACTCACTCTCGCTATCTTTCTATTCTTCCCTCTCCACAGCACATCGCTCTGTCCCTCATTTTCCCAGCCTGGCTGCGTCTCTCTCCATTCTGCTTGCGCCGTATGGAGAAAATTGCACAGGACATTAAGCCGCACATCGAGAAGAGAGTAGCACAGAACTACAGCAAAGAGGAGTGATTCACACATACACATATACACTCTGAGATTTGCAGGAACAAACAAGAAATGGGACTTCAGTACACACAGAAAATAACCTACAGACCTCTATTTTTGTACACTGTAAAATACCTGTAATGAAGAAGCCACTTTAACACTTGACCACGTATCACGTACGGTACACACATTATGATTTCCAGAAAGTATATATGAGCCCAGCTTTAGATTAAAGCTACTTTACAATATGAGGCTCGGTGTTAAGCAGCAATGAAGCAATGTCAGTCTGCAGTGTTCAGGCAGTGTTGGGCTTTGATTCCTCACTCTGTGTCATTTATGAGACACAGAATAAGAGAAAGAGAAAGTAAAACATAGGACAAGGAAAAGGGCAAAAACTATATAGTCTGTTTATTGCGTATGTATTCTTATGTATAATGAACTCAAAATGTGACAGAATATGAATTATTTTTACATACTTGTTTGATTATATGCTATATAATAAACAGAAAATCACTTTCATACTAAATTTATTATATTAAAGTACACAAAGTACATGACACCATTCTCTTGTGTGGTTTTGTACAGAGTAGCTGCGCTGTGTTGAGAGAAGCCTGTTCCTAACCAAACAATGCCACACCTGTTATGTTTTTCAGTAGAAGTACAAACATCTGCTTCTCCATTCACTGTGCCTAACAATTGTCTTTGCACTCCAATGAGAACCCTTTTCCATGGCTTGTTCCAAAGTGTTCCCTTTATGAACACAGCCTGTGATCCGGCATTAAAGAAATACGCCAACATTTTTCAACCTAATCTTTATCTCTACCTGTAGCGTATAGTCAGTTAGCACAGGCTAATTTAAATGCATTTTCCAGTCATCGAATACAAGTTATTCATTATTTTCAGAAGATATTTCTGAGGAGATGCAGTGAGGGACACAGGCAGCATCTAGTGACCAAAAGCACTTCCCAAGGCAGACACCCACGCACACCATTCGCCAAAAAAGGAAACCATACTAATAAGGTGCTACACAAGCGTAGGAATGTTTTTCAAGAATGCATTTTTTTCAAGCCCATCACAGATGAGTTCACAGATGAACTCAAACACAGATAAAATGGAACGGCAACATGAAAAGCCAGTCTTTATCAGATTCCTCAGTATAGTGGTATAAGATTAGAAATGCCCTTATAACACGCTGAGGAAATGAGGTATGAATATACTGTGTACCTATGTTTCTGTTCAACTGTTAAATAATCTTAACTACACTAATAATAAAACTATGACATAATACAATCTACTTATCACACAATAAATATCATAAGCATGAGGCATTTCACCTGACACACCTCAAAAAACAAGCTGCTTTTATCTTTAGCCTATTAATGCAATATTACACAGCCTGCACATCCTGTAATATTATGTTTCCATATTTGGTGTAGGAATGCATAAGAAATGGTCTCTCATTGTATAATAATTTGACTATTAGTACCCGTATCAATAGGCTCCTAATCTCTAACCTCATATACAGATATACAGTGCTTAGTAAGAACAGGCTCCTTAAGCTATTCACACTGGAACAGGAGCAAGGAAGCAGCTGGTGAACTATAGCTCAAAAAGACTTGGACATCAATGCAAAGGCCTAATTTCATTTGCCGTCCCAGGTGTCCAAATCTACCTAGTTTAGGATTTTCTCTGTCACATTTGACGCAACACAAGCTGCACTATGTAAGTTTTTGGTGTAAATCTGTAATTGCACGCAATGTTTTGTAACGTGGGTTGGGCTTCGGACCCCTTCCTCGAGCAGATGAATCTGACTGAATACTCTTTCAGCGCACTCACAAAGAAAAGTCAAAACTTGGAAGGACTTGTCTTCCTAGGAATGTGAGTGAATTATCTACAATGTTTCATCAAGATAACATTAGACTGTTCATTCGAGTCAAATCGATGTTTGTGTGTGACATTAATAAGTTAAAAAAAATAATAATAATAATTACACTGACGTCTTTACAAATTGACTCGCCAGAGCACAAGCACACCATATTTTAGTGCAGTATTTTTTCTTGACTCAGTAATGCTACTTCTTTTAATTTTAATAAAACATCTCACATTGTGCAGCTTTATGTATTAACTGGAAACTGCAAGTGTTAGAACAGAGAAAACACTAACCTCTATAGTACAGACTGGCCTGTGTGGGAACAGCAATGAAACTTATAACAACAACAACAACAACAAAACAAAAAAATACAAACACACAACATTCATGATATATAACTAAAGCACAATTTTAGTTACATAACAGTCTCAGCAGGCATGTTTTCCTCAGTTGTGCTGTTTGCAGACTCCTTGGAACAATGTTTGGGTTCAGTCAAGTTCATTAAACCACAGTAATTTCCTTCACATTCTCACAATGGCTTAAAATGTCTTTTAGCAGAGATGGCACTGATCCAACACTCAGGTATCGGGCTGATATCAGCAGAAAATGCTGGATCAGATATCAGTGGGCGGAAAAAAAGAGAATCCAATCCCGTAACAAATCTGCCCTGAAATACTACACTCTCACATTGTGTGATGTAGTGTCGTTAGTTGTGTGGGGTAGTTGAGTGTTTAAGTACTTTGAGCATAAAGCCTAATTTTAGATGCTCATCTTAGGTGAAGCCCTTCAAATACACACACACACACACACACACACACACACACACACATTTTCTACGCCGTTTATCCTTCTGGGTCATGGGGGGAGCTGGAGCCTATCCCAGCGGTCACTGAGCGGAAGGCAGGATAGCCTTTCAAATAAAAATACCTAGTTTTAAAGAAAAAAATATTGGTTCAGTATCAATCCAGCACTCAAGGTTTCAATATTGGTATCGCAACAGCAAAAAGCAGCAATAGTTGCTTTTGGAAAGTGCTTCTACTGTAATTGCTAACGCTTCATGGCCTGCACTTGCAGCGTAACAGTGATTGATAAACACGCAACAAACATAAACCATCATCTCCTTTTGGTTCAGGATGTTTCTTTAAATACCTTACGCAGAACTTAAATAAAGGAAAATAAATACTTTGTGAAACGAGAAACAGTAAACTGAGACCAACCCAAAGCATTACAGTGATTAAGCAGTGCCTGATGAGGTCCACACAACATAACCCAACTTTGGGACACGTAAGACACAATTTTCCCAAAAACAATCGGTGCTTTCCCTTGTATAATCCCACTTGTAGCAGATCAGACTAAAAATTGAAGAGACAGTTCAGCAAAGGAAAAAAAAAAACTTTGTAAGTTTCCCCTTAGCCCAAATTTAGCCATGCTAAGCCGGTGGCTATAGGCCTCCATTTCTTGTTAGCTACACTAGCCAGTGCAAAACCAAAGAAACAAACTTCAGAGCCCAAACGTCTGAGTTTGTCTGACTGACTACATTTTGGCTAAGAGGAAAACTGTCTATATTTAATCTTTGGCCAAAACAATACTTTAATCTTGGTCACCGGTACATACAGACACTCAAAGCTCAGTACACGTAACAGGGGTCAGTCCATGAATCAGAAGGGTAGGACCGAGCCCTTGAGTGACTGCATCCAGCTGTGCTAGGTACTGCTGTGATTGTCCGGAATCGGCGGGTGGGCGGGGCAGATAGAGGAAGCGCACAGCAGCAGAGATGCTGTGCTCTTTTATGAGCGAGTTGACCGCAGATAAGAATTCTTCCGAAGCTACAGGGGATGCTGTGGAATCAGTTCCTCGCAGCAATCGCACTACACGGTCCAAGGCTACGATCTTGATGGTGGCTCGGATCCTCAGCTTGCCCAGCAGCTCTCTAAACCTCTCCTCTTTGGCCAGCCAGCCCTGGTCTCCAGACTCCGCCTCCACACATAGGAAGATGCGGACCCTCGCCCGGCGCCACCTGGTGGCCATGTTTAGAATGCACGCCATCTGCAGAAGGAAAAGGCTGCAAACGTCAGCAAAGCTGTCACTGCCGTCTGCGCTCAGAAGGTTGGATGGCCACACGTCGATGGTATCCGAGCTGTCTCCGGATTTTGCGGACGTTGCTTTTCCTTCAGGTGGTAGCTGGAAGAAGTAGCGGGCCAGACACACGTTCTTGCCCATCTTGACGGCGTCCGAGATAATGCCCACGTACTCATCCGGCTGCAGAAAGCGAGGGCTCTCTGTGTGACGGACAGGAGGGAAGTGAGCCTGCAGGGATGGGAGGTCCACTCCAAAATGATCCCCTTCAGAACCAGCTAATGAACCAGAGCCTTTGTCTGCACCCTCACAGAAAGCAGCGTCCTGTAGGAGGTAGTCCTCTGGGTAACAGTTGTCATAGAAACCCAGCACCAGGGTGTTCGGCTTCATACCTCCTGTTGGGTGAGAGAGAGAAGAAAGAGGAAGCTAGGATTAGGCATGGAGATAGCTGAGGCTTTCTAAAAAGCTGTCACATTCCTCCAAAGAAAGAATTTAAGTTTACAGCTACGAGGCTAACACTGCTAATAAGGACTAGAACTCAACAGTCACCCAAACCATTTCTGTAAAAATACATCTACAAAGCTTCTCTCAATCTACTCAAACCGCATCCAGGTCTTCATTAAAGTCATGCAGACTTGCCAGTGTGGTTAAGGACAAAGAATGACTTAATTTGAGCTATAAAAATGAGTGCAATGTAGACTAGTTTAGCTAAAGAATAATGGAAGCTTATACCACTTAAATTAGCATCAAGCAAACTGTATGCCTAAATCATCACACATTTGCCTCAAACTGTGTTGTTTGGTAATGTCAAATAGACCTGTTTATGTAGTTTTTAACACTGTATGATACTGTTATCTATAAAAACTGTATCGTGTAGATAAACACATTGACATCTTTGAGCCTAAATTCTGTACAAACAGCAGTTATTCGGACATGATAAATTCAAGCTTGAGTTTACTGGTGTTAATGCAGAGAAAACATGTCAGTGTGCAAAGGCTTGTGGGATGTGTGGTCTCACCCAGTCCAGTGATGCGCAGTAGATGCTGAGTGCCCTGCCTGACTGAGGGAGAAAGAGTAAGATCCACAAACGCCTTTACATCCAGCTTATCCACCAGACTCAACCAGAAATTATACTGCTGCTGAACAGGGTCGGTCGGCAGCATGTCTATCAGGAGAGACAGAAAGAGAACCAGAGTTTTTAATTCGAATTCAATGCTTCTTAATACACTTAGGACCAACCAAACTATGACGTGCAAATTTTATGCATAGAGATTGGTTAAAAAACTAAACAATTACATACACTGAGTTATATACCATATTTCCTAAAGTATGCAATAACTAATCATCTTCTGAAATCAAGAGTATTAATAAGGAAATTGTCCACCCTTTGCTGCAGCAACAGTCTGGGAAGGATTTACACTAAATGCTGGAACATTGCTGTGAGGTTTTGATTGCATCAAGCCACAAAAGCATTAGAGAGTTCAGATACTGATGTTGGATGATTAGTTCTGAATCACTCATCAACTCATCCCATGTGTATAGCTGAAGTAACAGATCTGGCGGTTGGCGCTTTCCTCCGAGCGTGTTCAGCTGTCCTATGACTTCGCGTGAGCGGCAGTTTGAAAAGATGCAGTGGCACTTCACAGGTCTTGGAGGAAGCCTGTGCTAGCCTTCACCCTCCTAGTGCTGGTAATATTGTGGGGAGTCCTAACTAGCGGGTGGAATTGGAGACGACTAAATTGGGGAAAAAATTCTGCATAATTTAATAATTACAGATGTAAACAAAGTCAATCAGAAGAGTTTGATGTGAAATGCACTGTTCCAGATAAACTAACAGTCAGAATTGTTCAGAGTGGTGGTAAAAGGAACCAGACGTCTGAATTTTAATGTCTCTAAAATCTGCCTCACAAAAAAAACCTGCATACTGCATGAAATGGTTATGAATATCCTGACTGATAAAACATGAGACATTGTTTTATTGTGTCATAATGCTTATTTTTCTTAACCCATACATAGTGGAGAGCTACATGTACAGTGTTTTAAGGCAAAATGCAACCCAAGCAAAACTATTCTTTCACTATTTTACTATCATGAACATTACACATATAATCTCAGAAGACATATGAAGGTTCACTGTTTTGTAGACAACACAGCCCTGTCATATCACCACCACTGTAAAGCAAGTCAAATTTGTAGGTTTCTCTAAAATGCACCATTTTACATCAAACCACTCTGACTGACTTTTCTTGTTTAATTCAAGTAGATAAAAAAGATACATACAGAATATGTGTGACATCACATGCACTAGCCCTCTTCTCAATTTTCCACTAACTGCTCTTTTTCCCTTCAGCATGTTTGACCTGTTATTTCTGATGTCCTGTAGCTCCTCATGAGTGGTCAGTTTCTGACCACAAGACCTCTGTCAGCTGGATATTTTAGTTGGTGGACCGTTCTGAACACAACGACACTTTTCAACCCAGTGTTCAGGCATCATCTTAGAATTTAGCACCTCTAATAGCAAAACTAAGATATATAGTACTTGAATATATTTTTTGGACCTGCAGGAATCCTGAAATATACATTAATAAACAATCGTTTCCACTCTGCTAAGCACAGCCTCTACCAGTGGAACAAACATGCTAATAGATAATTACATACTGCCCTCTAGTGTCCACAAGAATCAAACCATGACCAACAGTGAGTGTTATTTAAGCATACTTCCTGCAAAACATGTCAACATCAAAACTAAGCATCTGAGTGTGTCTGATCAGAGTAAAATGGGTGGAGAGGTGGAGGGGCTTATGCCGTGGAACTGTCTAATCTGAAATGACTGGGCTCCTTTTCTAAAGATACATTTTTGTTAAAGATAAGAACATAAATTGTGTTGGTTGTTATTTTTGTAGTATGCCGTCCTATACTTATTTTCACTTATGCATTGGTTTTCAAATAACGTTTTGTTGACTTTATATGACTGCAGAATTAGAGCTCAGTAGAATCGAGATATTTTACCCAGGTCTCCGAGCTGCACGTGCCCCAAGATGAACAGGCCTCCCTTCTTCAGCTGGTTGACGAAGCTGATGAGCTGGCAGGAGGAGCGCGGGTTGGACACCATCAGCAGCACCTGCGGCCTCCAAAACTTTACATGATCCTTCCGTGAGTCCAGCATCAGAAGATACTTACGTACCTGCAGGACGGGGTCATACAGAAACACTTTTTTTACCACTAAACTAATTTGACAATGCCCAACATGGGATCCACACAGGGCTTGGTATCATTCAAAAAGTTTTGATAATACCAATAACTTCAAAAACTAATTCCAGAACATTACTTTTTATTTTCTACTTTCTTTCAAAAACAACAACAAAAAAGGAAACATTATTTTTTTTTATTGTAGCGATATAATCACATAACACATGTAAAATCATAATATTAATTATTTTGGTATTAATTCTTTCTGAACAAAACAGTAACAAAAGAATTATTTAAAAGTTCCAGTCACAGCCAAGAACCCATCAGTGTGAGATTCTGAAGACTGTAGTGAGAGCGTTCAGAAACACTGCTGCTCTTTGTATTTGTTCAACGGACTGTGTTAGTTACGTACCTACCACTCAATCAGCAGTGTAGAATTTGGAAGGAGCAGCTTATTATAGGTAGCAGGTTTTGGTACTGAAATTAGGTACTAAATAAGGAACGGGTGACATGGTAAAAATATAACATTATATATATATATTATTTTCATGATACACATTATGCATTATGATATGTAGTTTTTCTGAGGTTTAATAACTTCAAACAAAAAAAGAACCATTAGTGCAACATTCTTCTTACTCTCCTCTACAGAGAACACACTTCGTTTGCTAAAAGCAATATATTGGGGAAAAAATAAAACATGAAATGTAGCTTGTGCATTTATGTTTTATGTTTTCTCCCAATCTGTTAAAATTGTGCAGTGTTTCCTGTAGAAATTCAAAAAAACATCTAAACTGACCAAACTTTTGCATATGACTGAACTTGCATTCTCCTGAGTTACTTTTTTGGAGATATGTTTTGATTGCGATGATACACTCTGAGTACTGCTGTGAGTGCATATATATGTATTTCAGTACTGCTCTGTGTAAGTGAGCAAGTGTACCTGGTGAAAGATGAGAGCCTGGCTGATGTAGCCCCAGCTGCTGGTGGGTGACCTGTAGTGCAGGAAGAGCAGCAGCAGCAGCAGCATCACAATACTGGCTGAAGAGTAAACAGCATTTATCACAAACATCATCACAAGACAGCTCAGCATGCCCAGCAGACACGTGTGCCACGAGAAGAGCTGGAATGTAGGCCTGAGAGAGAGAGAGAGAGAGAGAGAGAGAGAGAGAGAGAGAGAGAGAGAGAGAGAGAGAGAGTGAGAGAGAGAAAGAGAGAGAGAGAGAGAGAAAGAAAGAAAGAAAGAAAGAAAAAGAAAATGTTGACAAACTGCTCATCCTATTAGGAGAAAAGTAGCGCTTTTGCAGGATAATACAGTACTGTGTAAAAGTTTTAGGCACCTGGGAAAATTATTCTTAATTATGTTTATTTGATCAGAAAAACACTAACATTGGAAAAAATACAAGTAACGTGAATACAAAAGGTATTTATCTTTCTGTATTGGCTCGGCTACATTGTAAATGAAGGTCTCCTTCAATGTACTCTTCAGTTTAAATAAACGTTGATTGATTGATTACTTCTAACCTCTCATAGAGGAAACCGAGTACTATTTGTAATCATCACCTGGTTTGGCTACTAAATGCTTCATTATTAAATCAAGTGTGATGGTGATGGATTTGAACAAATTCATGTGATGGCTAGAAGCCATCTGGAACCAAACTCTGTTCTTCAAGTTAACTACAAGATAACTACTGACATGACAAATACTTTTTTCAAAGTCTTGATACTTTTTACAGTATTAATGTCTTTACATTTAATGTTATATAGTTTTGAAACATTAGCAGTGTTTACTAAGGGTGCAAGAATACTCAAATTTAGCCATTTTTGCATCATGATATGTTTGTTTTCGATTTATGTATTTCTTTCTATTTTCTTTCTTTTTTTTTTGGAAATTTAAAAAAGAAAAAAAAGAGAAAAAAAAAACTTGTTGAAGGGGTAACTGACAAGTCATTTGCTTAGAAGATATACAATAAATAAAAGAGTAATATAAGCAAAAGTGCAAGGTGTATATTAGATGTGCGGGGGGGATTATCTAATGTGGCTCCATCACTCCTAGCAAACTGAGGAATCCAAGACTCTACAACCGGCTACCTATTAGAAGCTATAAGCATCCCTGTGGAGTTATTTGTTTCACCTGTTCAGATTCAGCACTTGGCAGCTGGTTTAACGCAGTGGGGAGAATTTAGCTGCTGCAACCTCTGTAACCGAGACATTCAGGTGAGTTTTAGTAAATCAGCCTATTTGATGTATTAGCACAGGTATTTAATACTCGTGCAATGTCGGCATACTGTCAACTTTCAGTCTACCACTCTGTCCATCATCATTCATTAATCTCACGACTGGGAAACTGAAGTGAGGAACAAACAGAAGATGAATGCAAGGCAAACTTCAACTTTTCCAGCTCAGGTTTGCTCTCTCTGCTCACTCTTTCAAACAGCCTGGCTAATTATCCATCCAAAGAAGACAAAGCTGAAATTAGCTTACTTCAACTTTCCTCAGGCACCACAGTGTAACTGTTGCACTATTGAAGGTGGAATGGAAAATTATATGCCGATGTTTTTTACGTTCATGTTTAGGAATATCATTGGTTGTGTTAGACAGAAATACAGACATCATTCTCAAAATCACACATTTAACATGAAATCTAACTGTATTCGATACACAGCGTGTATCATCTTGTAACGCCCACATAAAAAAAATATACATACATACATATATATATATATATATATATATATATATATATATATATATATATATATATATATTAACATGCATATCGTGACATCCATAGCATTTACGTACTACACCAAACTGCAATTAAAGAAAAGTTCAGAAAATCCAGTTACCGTTATACTGGCCCTTTAAACAATTTGCTGAGGTGACTTGCGCCAGTACTGTATACGTAAGAGCAGTGAAATGGCAGTATTGTGGCAAGAGTAAACAGACCAGACCCAAAACCTGATCCTTTCAAATTTGCAGCATCTACTGTTTTTTTAATTACTCCCAGCACCGCCTAATGGTAGGACATGTAAAAATGCACTGATCTGCAGGAGACAAGTCAACTGGATCAATTTTAGAACACTATAATTTATTATAATTGTTTCTAATTCAGTTCAGTAATGGGCTCATTTGTTCAAAAGTAAAAACACATTGTTTTTTGTTCGTATTCCTGCATCACTGCCCTGTAAATAGCTTCTCCACTCATACATTTGCACACTCATTTTTTTAATATTCTGAATTCTATCAAAATAATCCAGATGAAACACGGTGAAATATGAGAACGCAAAGAATCATAATCGAATCACTGTGATTGAATCAATCAGATTCACACCACTAACTGTGTTAATGTTCTGCTCTGTTGTGAATGCAGCAGTGCTCAGCTGTACCTGAAATTGGGAGCAGAGGCCCACTCCAGCGCCAGGCAGGCCAGGTCTACTGCAGCATACGAAAGCAGATAGAACACAGTGACCAACCCTGCAATCACATTCAGCTGACCTGCAAACAATGTGCACTGACACGCACACACAGTGGGGAAGAAAAGATCAGAGAATTATTGTTTACACTAAGGCTATAATATATAAAGTTACACACACAATATATATATATATATATATAGATAGATAGATAGATAGATAGATAATGTCATTTCTATATACACATACATACATACATACATACATACACACACACACACACACACACACACACACTCTCTCTCTCACACACACACACACACACACACACACACACTCTCTCACACACACACGTGCATATACCTAATACACACACCCTTACCTGTACCAGAGCCCAGGTGTACAGCACAGAGACCCAGGGGTTTCCTGAGCTGGAGGTGATGGCAGCAGGGGCCAGGGGCAAACCTGAGACAGACAGACAGACAGACAGACAGACAGACAAAATACACAAAGGCACAACAACATTTACTCATCATTTCTCCCAAACGCTTTTTATATATTATAAAAATATCGCACAAACACTTGCATTGATTTCCTGCCTTTTACACACACACACACACACACACACACACACACACACACACATACACACACACACCAAAGAGTTGGTCGACGGCAAGAGCGTGGAGGATGCGGGATGCTCCGATCATGGAACACATCGCCGCAGACAGAGATGCACAGTAAACACCAACAATCACAAAGGGAGGCCATATGTTTATACGCTGGAACACAGCATAGTCATTAATCAGAAACAACCTGAGAGAGAAAGAGTGAGAGAGAAGAACAGAACAAAGAGAACAAAACTCAAATTTAGATCCATACAACCAAAGTCTTAACACATACTAACAGAATTTTCCAGGGCCCAAATCACATAAAACCCAAATGTTCTTGTGTGTAATGTAGTTTGATGTAGTATGTACAGTCCTTACATGGAAAAAAGCAGGTTATCTACTAAGAACATCCATGCAAATGAACACAGACGCAACATCGCAGTTAACATGACAAGCGCAATATAAGCACATGCTTGACTTAATTGCTTTTTTTGTATGAAGGCCTATTTCCAGAGGAAGGAAAAATAACATTATGAAAAATATTTTTGTAAAAATCACACATCAGAAATTTGAGAAAATTACGCAGTTATTTTTTTATTTTCTGGTTTGAAACACATTCATTCTTGGTTTTCCAAAATATCACAAATGTTATTAAGCAAAGACTAAGTAAGAACTGTTAGAATTATCTGACTCACCTGTCACAGGTGGAGCTGAGGAGGAGAAAGAGGAGGACATAGACGATGAAGGTATACAGCACAGCTATGATGGTACCTTTAGGAATGGCTACACTGGGGTTCTTTAGCTCACCTGGGTGGAAACACAAAAACATAGTCTACAAAAAAAACAGGCTGCAGAGCAGAACTAGCTTACAGTCAACAGAAACAGCAGTAAAGGAGGACAGTAAACACCAGTGCCAGTGACATACAGCAGCTCTAAAAAGTATTTGGACAGGTGTGCCATACTTGGAAATGCAAGTTCATTGTGTAAAGAAAAAAAAAATTTGTTTGGCATTTGGCATTTATTTTAAACTGAGCTTTCCCAGACAGTAATTTCCTTTTTGGTAAAGTATTTCTTCAAAAAGTGGCAGGTGTGTTTCAGATCGTTATCCTGCTGAAAGTAAGGGTCGGCAATATGACGATATTTAGTGATATCATGAGAAATTACGTCACGTTATGTCACAATACGCTATTCTTAGTCTACCGTGAATATAGTCAGTACTTAAAGAAGACTGAACAACTGCATGTTTTATTAAAAAGGGAGCAGAATTAGTCCTGTTTGAGCATTTAATGCAGGACAATATGTGAAAGGTGGAATAAAAAAAAACATTGTTTTCATAGTTTCATAGTAATTTTTTAATCAAACCTCAGAATATCTAAAAATAACGATGCATACTGTGTACTATGAAAATGTCTTGACATATCAAGATGCTATCTTTCTGCCACATCACCCACCCCAAGCTGAAAATCAACTGTTGTTTGAGCAGTTTCTATAAAATTAAATCTCTAAAATATCAGTGTGTTAAATGTTTTATGATGTAACCTAAAGAACTTCATTACAGTTTAATAGTAGTTAAATGGTTAAAGTCTCCAAATAAATCAAATCTGGTGCCACTGTACCCATCTACCCCACAGGTTCCCAGCCCTGGTCCTAGAGGGATCAGGTGTGTTGGGAGCAAGGGAAATGTGCAGTGCAGGGGGTACTCCAGAACCACGGTTGGAAATTACTGGTCTGCCTGAATGGTTTATAGAGCTAAAGTAAACATCAATAAACGTTTACGATGCTCTACAATGCAATATAATCATAACTCTGTTAACACAGGTTAAAAAAGAGGAAGGAGAAAACAAGAAGAGTGTGTGTACCTGACATATTGGCTCCTGCCATAATCCCAGTGCAGCTGGTAAACATCACAGCAAAGACAGTGGAAAACGACATCATCTTGTTCGTACTGTAGTCCAGAGAGTAGCCAGCTAGAAAGAGAAAGAGAGAGAGAGAGATATTTGTGTTGCTCACTCCATCATAGTTGTTATTCATATTGGTAACAGACGACCTCTGTTCTCCTCTCTCACTCAACAATAATAATAAAATAAATGCAAAATGAGGCTTTATCATCACGCTGATAACTCGGGGTGTAAATATCTCACACATGCATAGTTGTAGGCAAAAGTCTGGTCAAATTCCATGTTGTTTTTTTATTTTATTTTCTAAGCTAAAATAAGTGAACACATCCTTACAGATAACACACTTCTGCAAAATACACAATTACTGTTTATTTTCTGCTTATTTGCTGAACTTAACATGTTTGGGGGGGGGAATAATAATAATAATAAAAAATTGTAGCCTGTGCAAAAATTATATCCCATATATTTCCCATGCAGAGGATGGGGTTAACTTATTTTCACCTAGAAACTCAAGAAAACGTTTCATTTGACTGGGGTTGTTTGTTTCATATGACCGTATTAATTTGAACTACCTCTCAAATCTAAACATCTGCCCAGTGCCATTTTTTAGCAAATATCTGCTGATACCAATATGACTCTGATATCACTGTGAATCTCTAGTATTAAGCATTTCTCTTATTGCTTTGGTTTTTAATTACATGTAATTCATGTCAGTTAAGTCCTTTACATTTACACCACAGTTATACTAGAGCTGATACATTTGCATGAGTTTGTACCAGGTCTTAATTAATTAATTAATTACTACCACTACTATGGTCAGTAAAATACATAAGATTGAACTCCTGCTGTGCCAGTCAAGTCAAACTTTAATCAACTTTCCTAACATCAGCTATACCTTCAGTAATTAACAGAATAAAAGACAACATTATTTGGAGAGCACATTTTAGATGCTTTGTAGAAATTTGATTTACCTTTAACTTAATATCTACTAAATTCATCTTAATTTTTACTTACTATAAAACTGGCCCTAAACCAAAAACTACTGGGAATCAACTGACTTTTACCAGATAGTTTGTTAACAATTTGAACACTGTTGATAACCAATAGACGGCAAAAATATAATAATATAATACCCAAATAAAGAGAGACTGAATAATATACCATATGGGAGTACCTTTTTTATAGTATTCACTATAAAAACAAATGGTAACAGCAGTTGCTCTAAAGCAATGGTCTTCAATCCTGGTCCTGGAGAGCTACCTTCCTGCAGAGTCTAGTTCTAACCTGTATTCAGTAAACTGCCCCGCCCCTTTACTTAACTCTAATGCATGTATTCCAGACAATCAGGGACTTGGGAATACATTGAATAGCTGGAGAAGGTGTGGCAAATTGTGGTTGGAACTAGACTCTGCAGGAAGGTAGTTCTCCAGGACCAGGGTTTTTAGACCACTGATCTAAAGCCATTATGAAATTTCTAAGCGTTAAGAGCATTACTTTTTTTCATCTGAACTGTTTTATACCAAATAATTTATTTAACTTCATTTTAACTTCAGTAAAAATAGTTAAATTACTTGTTTTCAAATAAAGTATATTTTCTTAGTTTTTTGAGTGACAAACAGTGCGTGACTCACGTCCGAGGTTGCTGGCGAGTGTGCTGCTGTTGAAGCCCGTGTAGACGCCTTGTGTAATCGTGTGGTTGTGGTCCAGCATGTGTGTTAAGTTGAAGTGGCGCGGGCCGACTATCAGCGGACTGATGAGAATGGACAGAACTGCCACGGTGACCACAAGCAGGGTGATGAAAGAGGCTTTGGCGTAGATGTGAGCTCCGACCAGACACACCACCAAACATAGCAACAGCAGCACAGACGAGTACAGAACCGAGAACCAGTAACCCTGAGGGAGCACACGTATACCCTGCGCCATGCCCACTGCTACAGAGAGAGAGAAAGACAGACAGACAGACAGAGACAAACAGAAACACACACAGATCACCTGAGTCACTGACTTTCTCATTAGAATACTTGCAATATGGACGGTTTTTAGACAAACCTGTCTAAATTACATTTCGTGTGCCTGTTATTAACATAATTTCTGGTTTATAACACACCTACTCTTGCTTCATAATTTTAAACATATCATAAAAAAAGGACTGTTTGGGAATCAGTATTAGAAGTCAAAGTATTGTTGTGGGTGTAGATATCAGAACATTTTGAATTATGCCCAGCCTTAGTAAACACAGAGGCAAGGAAAAAAGGAAAACAAACAAACAAACAAACAAACAGAAAACCAAACAAGATCAGAGGCCTGTTTCACAAAGCACACCTAAGACAAGATTGACCAAATTCAGCTTCACAAAACAAACTGCTGTGGTTACCTCATTTAAGTCAGCTGTTAACAACTTCCTCTGTGAACCCAGGTTTAGATATTCAGGCTATGATTATTGGCATAAACAACATAAAAGTGTGACATTTGCACTAAACCAATCAGGGTTGAGCGGCTTCTTTTTTTAAAGAAGGAAAAAAAATATACTATGTAAAAACCTAGAAAGCAAAGCATTTATAACTAAAAATCAACACTGTCACTACAGCCACTGTTAGAGTAATAACTGCATTATTTTCTTGATGCCTATGTAATGTGATTTGTTTCATCCTCTGAAAAGAGATAGGTATTTTCCCATGTGACTGACACCACAAACATGATGAAGAAGAAAAAAAAAGTGACCCAAGAGGGGCTCATCTCCGTCAGAGGATTTCCAATTTGTAAGAAGCTCAGCCCTGATTGGTCCAAAAGCTGTTTATAATCCAAACTGTCCCACCCCAAAGTGGGTTATGCATGCAGCATATGTTGCCATGGTGGTAAAGCCTGGAAAAAAGTGACCCAATGTCATGAGACAGAAAATCCAAGGTTAGATCAAACCAAGCTTAAAAGGTGCCTTGCTAGGTAAGAAATCCTGCTTCATAAGACACAGCATAAAAGATGCATTATTATTATTATTATTATTATTATTATTATTATTATTATTATTTCTACTATTACTACTACTACTACCACCACAACTACAACAACAACAATATTTCCAAGCATTTCTATTATCTATCTCTGCAAACAAATGTAAAAAATATTCACTGTGCAACTAGTTACATAAACAAATCAAGAACATACTGCAGATGAAGAAATAACCGTTTTGTAATAGTTTCTTCAAACAACAGGAAATGTTGTAAAGAACCCTCACTCAAGAGTCAGTGGTTTTGTCTCCCACATGCAAAGCTAATCTGTTTCTATGTGTCATCTACGCAAATATTAAAAATGGGGATAATGGTGTGGGGTTGTTTTTCAGGGTTTGGGCCCTTTCCTGTTTCAGCATGACTGTGTCCCTGTGCACATGGCGAGGTCCATTAAGACATGGATTGATGAGTTTGGTGTGGAGGAAGTCCAGCGACCTGCTTAGAGCCCTGACTTCAACCCCACTGAACACCTTTAGTATTAAGTGGAATTAAGTGCCTGACCTAACAAAGGCTCCTTTGACTGAATGAGCACAAATTTCCACAGACATACTGCAAAATACTGCAAACATTTTGGGGATGAGTCTGCCCATAACCACAGCAGATAAGTCCCGCCTTTTCACACTGAAGTTATAAGGGGCCGGACTGCTTTTTGAATGAGGCACAATACAGGACAGCCAATCAGAACAGCGCTCTTTTACATGCATCAGTCTTATAATAACATCAGCAACCTGTTTGATTCTAAAGAATTACAAAGAGATTGGAAATGGACATGTGAAATGAACTGAATCTTTTTGGTACATAAAGTCAATAAATGTCATGGTTGGACCTCAGGAGAGGGAGCTACAAAATCGACTAAAACCCTAAACCACAGAAACATCCACAACCGAACAGAGTTCATACTCTCTGTGATGAGACAAAGGCTGCTCTATAAAAAGACTGTACTGACCGTCACAAGATCGGACTCCGTGCTCACCTGCATCCTGACCAAAAATGTTCAGAATCGCCTCCACCAAACCGAGCACGTAGACCCCGCACGCACACACCTTCGCCAGGAAGAACATGAGGCCGATGCTGCCACCAAACTCCGGACCCAGAGAACGACTGATCATGACTGACGTTCACGGATTAAGGATATGTTCAACATTTCAAGTTAATAAAATATCAATTTACATAAATCAACCAGACATAACATGACACGCGCAAGTCATCTAGCTTTCATTCAGACAGTTTACTCAAACTCTGAGTTTCTGAATTTCCCACAAAAAGCTACACATGAGCGTTTGACAGTCACAAATAGAAAAAGTAATGTCTGACAAGTTCTAAGTTTAAGTATCCCCAGCCAGTACACTTTCTAATACCATATGAACACAGCAGAAGAAAAAGCTTCAAACTGAAATGACGTGGTGGAGCCACTAGCCAGGTGGTCTTCTCCAAGGTGGGCCAGTTAAAGAAAATGCAGAAAAAAAAGTGTCCCATAATTTTTATCCATAAAACTATCACTTTTATCACTTCAAATATACACAACATATTGTTGCTGTCAGAACGAAAACTTATATCTGCAAAATGGTGACTTTACAGGATAAAGAACACCACTGTGAATTTTTAACGTTAGTTAAATTTGTTTATTCCACGTAATTTTTGACCACTGTTATTGGTACATTTATCATGAAATAACCACACAATGGAACCCGAGTCCACCATGTAGAGGGCGCCAGTGTTACCCACTACAAGTTTTGACAAAACAGACACATTAAATCTGCATTCTCAGTGGATTCTTTTGATAATTCCATTCGTTTATGAATTCTGACACACTGAATTCTCTGTTACGCCCCAGATGAATCCACAAAGGCAGATCTAATGAACTATCAGTCTGAATTAAAATAATACCTAAGTCAGTTATAAATCATGCCTGCTCAGTCAGGTTCTTATTTAAATGGTTCCTCTTACATGTGGTGCTGTTCTTGCTTTTAAAAATGTATGCCACAGTGTCTCGTGAGTGAAACACATTTACCCCATCAGATATAAATATGCAGCTGCAAAAAGAATAAAACAATTTTTGGGGGCTGGCATGAAAGATAAATTGAAAATATGTAATTCACCATATTTGAGACCCCTGTAGTAGACCAAGCTGACATGTGTCAGCATAGTTCATATGACAACATGATAAAATGTACGAGTTCCCTGGTGATGTGATGATTTTCCAAATACTAGCTGATAAGTGCATCACAACAGCGGCACTGGCTCCATCCCAATAAATAGGATGTTGTGAAGGATACAATAGGCTCCACCCCCCTGCACTGCCCCATTGGTGGAAATGGCACAGATCGACAGGATCGTCAAGGAGATGATAAAATAGGCCACGCCCAGCATGAGCAGACCCTGGAGAAGACCTGCATGACCTACGACAAAACCTGCAACACAAACTCATATAGTTTAGTAGAACTGGACGGCAAAATAATAGTTTACCGATTTTCTCTCACCACAAAATGTACTCAATGTAGTCATACGCACATACTCACCAGTGCGCAGGAAGATTATGATGCTGAACATGGAGAGGATGGTGGGCACTATCACCCCGAAGAAGGTGTTTAGAGTGCGGGGGTTGGCTTTGGAGGAGCTGTCTCCAGCTGCTGAGGAGCCCCTCCTGGAGTCTCCATTATCAGCTACCACGCTGAAGACCCCATGGGCCAGAAGAGGGCTGCGCTCACCTGCCATGGCCTGGAAACAGGAACTTCTGCTCTAACAATCCTCCTGTTGCCGTAAGAGGCTGTAGAGGCAGTGAAAGAAAGTCTGCTTTTAACCCAACAGCTATAATTTACAATTTAGTTTGATAAAATGCCAGGTAATGTGTTCCGACAGGTCTAGAGTGATGAAATTTTGTATAGTTATACTTTAGATGGACGTCAAACCACAGCCGTTTGATTTTTGCAACAAACTGTAGATTTTTTATTGTTTTCTAAAAACAAAGTAGTCCCATGTGACCAAAAGACTGAATTTAATGATATATTAAGTAACTAAAATTTCACTTTTGGCCATCTGAACATTTTCTTCAGTTTTCTCAGAGAAACACATCAACAAAAATGTACAATTTCAGACATGAACATTAATAGTGTAATATAGACAAAGTACAGGTCACACGTTTGGTATAGTGTAAACGGTTGGTACAGTCTAGTGGGCAACACTTCTGCCTTCTAAGCTGTAGACTGGTGTTCGATCCCTCCCCTGGGCAAGGACCCTACACTATACCAATAAGAACGGAGGGTCAAATTGTAAGTCGCTCTGGATAAGAGTGTCTGCCAAATGGCATAAAAGGTTTTGACAGTTAAAGCATGAAAATAAAGCATCATCATGTCTAATTTTTTTTAAATAAACACACCAGTTACTCTTTTATTCTATGAAAAGTGTACATTGTACATCAACAAACCTTTCAAAAATGTTTTTGACAAAATAAAGCCATTGACCTTTAGGTTGGTAACAGGGTCGACAGTAACGCAGTTAAGGTTTGCAGCCACAGTAAAGTCAACAATTGTTCTACTTTTGTTGAAGGCCATCAGATCTCATAATGCCCATGTAGTCCTGATCTTTTACCAATATGTGCAGACATTTAATAAATTAATTACAGAATTCAGGTTTATTAAAGTAACAAAGTTGACAACCCTGTACATAAAGAGAAAAATAAAAAAAGAACAAAAATGTCAGATAGCTGACCATCTTTATCTTTAAGTCATGAGTCACAGAGTCATAAGTCATCCTAATTTTATGACTATGTGGATTATAAAAAGACTTACAGTAACAGGGCTTGGAGATGGAAAGAATGTTATTTTATCAAATTCGCAAACACTACTGTTGAATTTGGCTTTCCGTAGACAAACCAGACCGGTTATTGCATTCACAAGCCATAACAGGTTTTAATCTCATTGAAAATTAATCAAGAAAATTTTCATCAGACGTTGCATAAATGGACCTGGGGACAAACCAATGATCATTGATCACCAATGCATATCTTACAAACTGTATTTGGGGTTTTTCCACCCCAAATTGTCAAAGAATTTGTCTTCATCAATTAAAAAGTTACTGATTTAAAAACAGACTTAACTGTTAAACTGCTCTTCTAATGTGATGGACGCAAAATGTCCTATTTCAGCAGAACGTCGTTCCTAGAACTCGACAGCAACTGTTTCCAATGTAGCTAATCTTAAGATTTTTTTTTAAATTAATGTGAAACATCTTCCATAAACCTACACTTAAAAAAAACATGGTTCTTCAAAGGTTCTTTAGTGAAGACAAATGATTCTATATAGAACCATGAACACTTAAAGTACCACTTGCATGCTTAACGGGTTCTTTGCATCGTGAAATGGTTGAATGGAGAATGTGTTGCACATGGTTTTAACAGGCCCTTTTGGAAAAAAAAGGGTTCTGTAAAGCACTAAAAATGGTTCTTCTACTATTACAAGCTTGACATTGTAACAATAGCAGAACCCTTTTTTGGTGCTATATAGGACCATTTTCAAAGGAGGTTTTATATAGTAAAACCATATACAAACACATTGTCCATCAGTCTAAAGAACTATTTCATGATGCAAAGAACCCTTTAAGCATGCAAATGGTTCTCTGAGTGTTCGTGGTTGTATGTAGAACCCTTGAAATACCATCTAAGAGTGCACTGGTAATATTCCATTAGTTTTGATGGGAAAAATGTCAAGAATGTAACACTCACGTCAATGACAGTCACATGTGCCTCCCTATACGCCGGCTCCTTAGCAGAACGTTCCGTTCCACCTTAAATGATACAGCAGTTACATTCAGGCGCCTGTACATTTAAGGTGGAACGGAAAATTCGAACAAAACGCTGTTTCAGCTTCGTGAACATGGTAAACACAGCGCTGGATAAGTCCTTAAAGGCGCTGCTCAACATCTGTAGCTAATGCCAAAGCCAAATTAACCAGGTTTTGGTCGTGGACACCTGAAAGGTCCGAAGCTAATATAGTTAGAGCACCACTGTGTGGACCCTTCTCCGAGGAGAGGTGATGAGGGCGCGCACACAAACACACTGAAGCTCTGGAGATGAAAGCAGGAACTGACTCAGAAACAAGCTGCAACAGTCAACAAACTCTGGGTAGTAGGTGAGCCTGGGCCGGGCTGGCAGCTTCGGCTAGCACGAAATAAGCTCAAAACACGAGCGAGCCAAACAAATAACTGCTAATACCGTAGTAGCTGGCAGAATATCAGTGAGGTTTGCCAGGGCATCTTCGAGGGCAGCGTGGCACTTCAAAACACCTATGCTCCATTTCAGTTCCCAAAATAAAGGGCAAGAAGGAGGCACCACGAAGGTGCAGACACAGAGAGACAACAATCAGTGATGAGGTATCATGACCTACCTTACAATCCTCTAACAAACGACTTTTGGAGCTAATGTGCGATGTCAGTCGTTTAGCAGCATCCCCTTCGGTTTGTGTGGTTTGCGCTGTCACCGCCTCAAACTCCTGTTTAGAACAGTCACGAGACGCAGGGGCGGAACCATGTGACTCCGAAAGAGGGGGGGACGGGGGGGGGGTAGTTTTGAGGAAGACTATTGAACCTAGGATGTTTGTGTGTGTCTATGTACCCAAAACACTGCCATTCTTCAGCCTCTCTTTATACTTTAGAATAAAATAATTACATATTTATTTTTATGGTCCTTTTTAGACTGATTTGGTACAAACTGACTGATTTAGACTGATGGTTCAAAGTCAAGTTCAAAACTCATTTCAGACTTTTAAGCAAATTGGGCTTTAGCCTAAATTCCTTTAGTTTTGAGTGAGTCTGTATCTTAATTATGTGTATTTTATTAAAACAAATGATTAAACATTCCATTTTTTTATAAAAACAATCATAACACTACCGAAACTTTACCAAATCTTTCGTAGTTACTATTTCGGTAATAATTTTAGCTCATTCTGAGCAGAACTCAGAAACGCTAGCACGTAGATCACTAGCAAACACAGCTTTGAACAGTTGTACACACATTTAATCAGAATATTTTTAAATGAAATACAACAAAAGTTTACTTAATTGCAAAAAATGTGTTTCGGTAGTGACAATTCTCAATGTTCCACACTGATTTTCAGATTGTGGGACACATTTGCAATGGGGTCTGATGCTGCGTTCGGGTGCTCACTGGAAGGTTGTATACACCAGATGGTTAACTAGTAAATACGACATCACTCTGTTCGAGCTTTCGTTCGTAGATACGGCCACCACACAGAAAAAGAAAGCACGGAGGTGTGGAAGTTCAGTTGTAAATACGGCTTTGTCAGCAGTTTGAGCGCCATTTACAAGTGGGAAAATTGGTATTTCTCGGTTTCCAACACGACTCAAATGCAGCATAACTGCTCACCATGTGGCCACGAGGGACAGGGATGCAGTCTCACTTCCTGCTCTAAAATGCAGGGGTGTGGCTAAAATAAGGCTCCGCCTACATAGTGTTTCATTAGTGATTTGAAAACCTGGGACAGCATTTCTTTGATAAAGTTATTTTATTAAACATTTAAATGCACAATATATCTAAATCTTAAATAAATCTAAAATAAATCAAAAAGTTGTTCCACAAGTTGAAATTTAGGGGTTAGGGTTTGGGGCTGCCACCATCTCAATTAATGCCTTGGGTTTCAATGGAATATAAAATAATCCTTGTAATTATCTTCTGGATGTCGGTCCACTCTCACAGCAACACTGCCTGATGCACTAGTGCCAGCATCTCAAACATTACCAAACATTACCAGTGGTCCTGTGGTCAGAAACTGACTGATGATGAATGAGGTAGAGAGCTTGAGACAAAGTGTACCACAACAGATGCGCTACAGTTTGTGACTGTACACCTATATAGTGGTCATCTAAGGTAGGTGGAGTGACCAGCGAGTGGAAGTGCAAGGTAGGAGTTTTCAATACAGTGGATGGACAATTTAGCATCAAAGTATATACTGAACCACCCGCATGATACTGAATTATGTAATACAGTATTATGTGGGTGAGTGCTGAGGCTTAAAGTTTACATTTTGCATTTCAGAAGCCGAAACTCTGCGGTTGAGGAAAAATTGTGGGTTAAAAATACACCCTCTCAGTTCCTCTTTAAACTACGAGGCAGAAAACTGCTCTGAGATGTAAATTCATCCTCCAGACAAAACTCAGTAGTTGTCAACAGCACTTTAATATTTTCATATCAGTTACACATTTTCTGTGGCAAACAAAATCAGACCAGCGACAAAAGTTCAGCAGCTCACAGTGCAGCTTATGTGGGGAAAAAGCATCTCTTAACACTTGACACAGAGCAGTTAAACTGACATTCTGCTGTATTGAACAATCAGTACATTTTATGAAGAGATTAATTCAGAAATGTTTAGATTAAATACTTTATGTTTTTCATAATGGTGATGCTCCATTTTGAACTGTTTGGTGCACAATTGAAAAAACACCTGTCCTCATCCATACAGATCGCTCACTTTCCCTCTACACAGCAGACCTATTTTACTTGTATTTATGTATATGTACAGTACTGTACAAAAGTCAGAGACCACCCTTGATTTATTTAATTTCCAGTCAAAATAGCCCCTAAGTTTTTCATTTTTCAGTGTCAAGAAAAAGCACTTAGCATTAATTTACCAAGTAATTATCTATGCTTTATCTTTATTTCATCTTTCATTCTTTCAGCAGGCTTGTTTTCAGTTTTTCAAAGAAATCTGCAAGGATATTTTTTCCAAAGTTCAGTCTTACAAATTGGCTGCATTTTCTACCTATATTATTATTATTACTATTAATAATAATAATATCAATTTATATAGCACCTCTCACGACACTTCACAAAGAGAGGGAAAGAAAAAACCTAGCATTTTGAAGAAGAAGCATAGTGTGCAGAAACCAGGAAGGTTTTAAGTTGAACTTTAAATGACGAGAGGATACTGCAGTCACGAAGAGATTGTGGTGGAGAATTCCAAAGTTTGGGAGCAGTAGCACTGAAAGACCTGTCGCCCACAGTCGAGAGTCTCGTGAATGGGACTGCAAGAAGTCCAGTCCCAGAACATCTGAGAAAGCAAGAGGGACAGTATGGATGAAGGAGCTCACTAAGGTATGTAGGGGTGACACCATGAAGGAGAAGTTTATACTTGATACAGGAGGATACTGGTAACCAGTGAAGCTGATGGAGGGTGGGAGTGATGTGTGCAGTGTGTTTGGTAAAGGGAGGACTCTGCCTGTTGAGTTTTGAATAAACTGAAGCTGGTTGAGCAAATTAACAAGGAGACCTTCAAAAAGGGAGTAGCAATAATCAATGCAGGAGAAAATGAAGGCATTAACCAGCATTTTGGCATCAACATTGTTGAGCAGAAAGCAGCAACTACTCATGTTCCTCTTCCTATTGCAGGTCTTATTTCTTAAGTCTTGAATCTTATTTCTAATGGCCATTTTAACTGGAAATTAAACAAATGAAAAGTGGTCTCTGACATTTGCACAGTACTGTAATTATGTATGGCATTTCTGCAGACTGTCAACTGATGTTCACAATGTAACATTAAATATTCATGTACATGTTCCCTTATACTATTAATGCTTCTATACTGTTGCAGTAGTATGTCTTTTCAAACTTGGCTGTCAGGCACTCTTCTTGTAACAAACTTGTTCTTTTCTCTCCATCAGGCTCTGATGCTCAGACAGAGTCCATGGACTGGGAGTTAAGATGTGGCCAGACATAAGAGGCTCCAGCTGGTAGGAGAGAGAGGGTGGGGTGGGGGGCCGTGGAGGCCATATTAGCTCCCCCGCCAGTTGGTGAGTGTTTAAGACGGTGCTTCTTGAGCTGGCCCAGCTCGCGGAAGCAGCAGCCACAGAGCGCACAGCGGTATGGCCTCTCGCCCGTGTGGATGCGCTGGTGCTTATGCAGACTGTCCAGGTGACGAAAGCGTTTCTCGCAGTAGCGGCATGGGTACGGTCGCTCGCCTGTATGGATGCGCTGGTGCGTCTTCAGGCAGTAGAAGCGCCGGAAGCCACGGCCACAAACGTTACAGCGGTGCACTTTGTCAGCGCTGTCCCTCTGGACCTCTGCTGGACTTGTGAGGGTGATGTCACCCTCTATGGGTGGCATCAAGCCAAGCAGGGCTTCACCTTCACTTATTTGGGGCTGAGTGTGTGTGGTGGCCATCGATAACAATGAGGAACCTGCCGCTGGGTCTGATGATGGAAGCTCTACAGACGGTGACTCAGGTTCATCTTCGATTTTGACAGTGCTCCGTTTGACCTCGCTCCCATCCATCACTTGAATGATACCCAGTTCTGTAATATTACCCACAGGACCGCCAATCTCAAACTCGAACTTGCCATCATCAGATGGGTCATCAAGGCCTTTTGAGGATGAGCTTGCCACTTGCTGCTCCTCCTGAACTCTCCCAAAATCCTGCACTGCACTGGCAGAGGCCTTATAATCTACAAAGAACAGAGAAAAAAAAGACAAGATCAGTGGATCAGTAAGATCAGACATGCAGGTTTTCTTGTTACTTGTGTCCTTGACTTAGTATTTCTAGACAAGGTAAGGCTTGTAGTACATAAGCCATGAAGAAAGGCAACCACATCTATTTTATGCAGTTCATGCAGTTCAAAGTCAGAAGCACCGGATCAGAGGCCCCAGTGCCTTTAAAACGAACATCTTGCCCAAACATTGTGTCTAGGACAGGGGCCACACAAGAGCCAGTATAGCTGCAGATTTTCATTCCAACCAAGCAGGAGCACATCTCATATGAGATGCATCCACACCAGCCCTTTGTGGATCAAACTGGTGAGCTCTGTTTTAGGACATCAGTAGCCAAAGAATGATGTGTTTCTCAGCTGTTATGTCTCCGAAGGCTGTTCCGTTTCATGAGATCTTTTAATTATGGCCTAGAAATGCTTGTGTATGAGAAATCAAAGGACTCAACTGGAGTATCCTCCCAGGTCTTCAGTCACTCACAATCCTTCAGTTTGAACAGCATGAACAAAGTAAAAACAGCCAGGAATGACACGATGCTGTGATGCCAAGCTAATAATGAAATGTAAAATTTAATTAAATGTTTTAAATGTTTAAAAGTTTAAATGTGTGTACATCTTGGTACATGTCAGTACGGCCTGCTCACCATGTTTTGAACGTACATGAGTGAGCATGAGGGATGCACTGATACCATTTTTTTCAGACTGAGCATGAGTGTGTTATTTAGTACTTGCTGATAGCGAAACTGATACTATGCCATAACCATCACAATCACATCCGAGGTTAATGTATCTGAGGAGCTCACGTTTTGGGTTTTACGTCATGTTGGAGTCTTTTTGGCTTGTTGGCTGGTTGAGCTGTAGTTGAATGTCCTCTAAAGCCAGACGCTGCAATTTTAGAAATCTTGTTCTTTGGGGACTCACACTGTATATTTTAATAGACCATCATGTACAAACAAAGCCTATGATTTATATACTCACACTGTATGAAAATGGTCAGTCCACCTAACATGCTATGTGAAATGCAAGCCCCTACAGACAGATCTGTCTATTAACAATTGCCAATAAAGCTTTCTCATTCAAAATAACAATAACTGCACCTCTCTATATTTAACATTGATTGGTTTGTAGAGGAGCAGTTGTCTGACGTCAGCAAGCTGTCAAATTAAATACTTCATCTCCTCCTTTGCCCATTTTTGCCTCTCTACCAGTTCTTTTTCTTCTTCTATCATTTAACGGGTGATGACAGCCTGCCTCAACTTCCTGTAACTGGTCCAAAAGTCTAAACCATCCAAAAAGGTGTTTTCACACTGTACCACACCATGGTTCAGTTTGATCTGGACCAAGACCACCTCTTTTGGTCAGACCAAATTTGGTCCTTTGGGCTGGACTGTGGTCTGAGGCACCCTCAACACCTGCTAATTTGGTTCGGACCCAACTGAAAAGTCAGAAGAACTGGATCAAACAAGGTAGGTGTGAAAGCACCCTGAGTACCGAGCAAAAATGTTGAGAAACTGAGCACTGCTAACTTGCACCACATTGTGCACTTAAACTAAAACCAGCTTGACTTGTTTTTTTCATTAGCGTGGCAGCGTACACTAAGCCTACGTCACGTGGTATCAGGTGGTACCAGATGTTGGCATAAGTTCATTTTTATAATTACGAGTGCTTGAGCATGATATACGACCGATACCCGATACCAGTATCGATGCATCCCTGGAGAGCACTAAAGAGGAGCCTTCGTAGACCAATAACAGGAAGGTCTCTCCTACCTCGTCTGCAGACTTTACTCTGAGACAAGCTACATTCATCTTGACTGGCCACACTGGACAAACCCAGTTTTATCAGCCACACCCTCCATAAATAACAACAGCACTGGTGACAACAGAAGGTCTTGTACGTCAGTGGCTATGTTTACATGCAACGATTTTTGCCAATCCGATTGAATACAATCCGATTACAGATTTAGACTGAGGTGTTTATATGCACTCTATTCAACAATCTGATGGAAAATCTTCGTTTACATGCTCACTACAAGTAATCCGATGCAAAATGACGCGCATGCGTGGAGTAGCGCTTAGAGTAAACGTTACCATGACAGCGAACATCACGTGAAGTCCAGACCAGTTTCTGCTCCGCCATGTTGAGCGGTGTAAACTTTCGCCGTGACGCGACGCACATGCGCAGAACATACTTACACGTTCCGATTGGAATGTAATCGGATTCAGGCGTTTACATGGCTATTATTCTTCTATTTAACGGATTATTTAGAAGTTTACCCACCTCGTTTAATCGGATAGAAATTGTATTCCGAATGGCCTCAATCGGATTAGACTATTCCGATTGAGGTGTTTACATGGACGTATTCTATTCCGATTGAGCTATTAGTCGGATTATTAACGGATTATCAGGCTGCATGTAAACGTGGCTAGTAACATGCTCTACAGGCAACTTTCACCATAAAGGGCATCAGCAGAGGAGCAACAGAGTGGAGTACCGCACATACGAGACAGACGACAGCTGTGTGTCATAAACTGTAAAGATGTAAAAACATCCCAGGATAGTGTTGAACAGTGAGCAGCAACACCCTCCAAAAGGAACATGTACACCCACCTTTATCAGCTACACCTTCCTCCGTGATGTAAAACTCCTCCACTTCTCCTGTTCTCTCCATCACTGATTCCGTCTCCACTGGTCGTCGTGAACTTGTGGCCTCCTTCCCCGCCGCTGTCCTCACTCTCCTCCGCGGCCAGTCGCCCTGCACTGTGGGCAGACAGAGCCCCACACTCGGTACGACTTTAGCTCCGTGACTCCGTGCCGCCGCGGTCCTCAGAGACCTGCCGCGCTGGAGCTGGAGGAGGCCGCCCTCACAAGAGGTGAAGGTGGCCGTAGACGAGTCCTCGGCTCCAGCCCGTCTCTGGTCGAGCAGAAGGCACTGCTTAATGTTCTTCTCGGCGGCGGACACGTAGTAGCGCACGGCCTTTAGCTCGCCCTCGCTCGCCTCCAGTCTCTCCCGCAGGCTCCGGTTCTCTCGGCGAGACTCAGCCGCTGCGTCCCGCGCCGCCGTCAGCCTGGCGCTCACCACCCGCGCCGTTTCCCGGAGCACCGTCTCAACAGCACAGCGCACCGCCTGCTCGATGGTGGAGGCCAGCTCGTACTGCAGGAAAGACATGCTGTGGTCTTCCGAAGTCATGACCAGCGGGCGGGAGACGTTCACGGCTTTAACGGCGCTTTCACAGCCTCCGCTCTCCCCAGTGTTTATGTGTTAGCTTAGCTTAGTCTTTTCGTTTCCTCACGCTTGTTTTCGTTTTTTGTCCAATTTCACGTCTAGCGCTCCGTAGTCATCGTTACAGAAGGTCCGAGTTTCAGTATGACCCACATCCGAGGCTTTAAGGGTTTACATTAAATTAGTAAATAAATATATTAGCCAAAAAATCAGCAGCCTCGCTCTGTGTACGTTCTGCAGCGTCGCATAGCAATGGTGCGAGGGAATTATGGGAAATGTAGTTCCCCATGAGAACGTTAACATAATAATAATAATAATAATAATAATAAGTAGAAGAATAATAAGAAGAACAAGAAAAATAACAAGAATAAGAAGATTATGAAGAAGAAGAAGAATTAGAAATAATATTTGGTATAACAGCAATAAATTAGAGACGAACCGGAAAGCGGAGGGGTTTCACTCGCTGTGTGTCTCATAGCATTGACGTGTGAAAATTATGGGAAATGTAGTTCTTGCTTCTGAGTGACTTGAGGATGTAATTATAATAATAAATAGAAAAGGAAAAATAATTAGAAGACGATTTTTTATATCGCAGTATTAAATTAGCAAACAACCATATGGGTAAACGAACCAGAAGAGTGTATATCAATGATGTGATAGAAATATGGGAAATGTAGTTTTTGCTTCTGGGTAAGCTGTGTATATAATAATAATAATAATAATAATAATAATAATAATAGTAGTAGTAGTAGTAGTAATAAGAATAATAATATAAATAATAATGTATAGCATTTTCACCTTATAATGACATTAAAACTATACATACTAAAATGTGTGACTGGAGTTTCCCCAAGTATGACCTATTGCTGTGCAAGATTCCTTGTTAGTGGCAGAGCACATGAACATGCACTATACAGTATAATTCATATGCCAGGCTTTGTATTAACCCTTTGCCATAAGATCCTATCTGATCATCTCATATTTCGATATGTAATGCAGTGGCTCACTTTTCATAATACATCTATTCAGTTTGCAACACTGGAATTCATACATTCATTCATTCATTTTGACATCCATTGACCACTTCCTCCCTTCACACTTGTGTTTGAAGGCAGCTGACAGATGTTTTACAGGAATGTCTTGTAAAATGATCCTGCAACCCATCCAATACATTTTAAAATTAAATATTCCTTGTGTGCCTTATGTAAGCAACCCTCATGTAACTCAATAACTTCATGTTATGCAGCCATGATTGGCCTGGTTTGCTTTCTCTGTATCTGTGTATAAGATTCCTCTTTTACCTGTGAGTGTCCAGTGCGGCTGCCTTTGGAAGACTGGCTGCTGATACACGGTCATTCCGCTTTTTTTGAACTTTGCACCCAAAGCCATTGTTTGATTAATAAACATGTGAGAGTAAACATTAGTGGATGTCTGTAATTTGAAAATCAATTTAAGGAAGGCTGTATATAACACTGTACCTGCTAAATTAGATTAAGAGAGGTGAAGATAATACAGAAAAGGTTAATTGACTAATATATCCAAGTTTATATGTTTGGCTACTGTGGAACATTAATGAGGCTGTTAAATTCTGGGTTTATATTTTGGGCATAGAGCAATTTTTCAGTGTCACAATTTGAACATCTTTCTCCAAATGCTGATAAATGTTTGAGCCTGCTGTGTTTAGGGCGAGCAGAGTTGGTTTCTATACGTTCCCCATCTTCTTCTTTCGTGTCTAAATCAGGGCAGACTAGTTTTGAGTGGGTTTCTACAGTTTCTCCCACCTGTCTGTTGCCTCTCGCAGTCCTAACACAACAGAACTATGCTGTGATTAAGGTTTTTCAAGTCAAGTCAAGCCAAGTCAAGACTCATGGCTTTGGCCCATGTCTTTAGTTTTAGCTCTGCTGACACAGAATAATTAAAGAGAAAGTGGCATCATTTTTATTCAGTCAGATTTCAGAATCTTGTAAATGTCGTAGTATTCCAGACTGGTTTATGAAAGAGTAATAGTGCCCTCTAGTGCTCATTGAGTGGTATGACAGGGCCTTAAGGAGTCCTGCTGCTGTCTGGTTAAAGGGAAATTCCACTAATGTTCCAACATTTGTGTATAACTCATTTGTTAAAACGCAAACTAAGTCATTCATCATAGTTTATTGTGAAATGCTCTGTTCTGGAGAACTTACTAAGTTAGAATGACTCACAGTGCTGTTGACAGGAACCAGACGTCTGAAGTGTTTGGTGCCTCTAAAAGTTACCTCACATCAAGTTATTACATTAAACTGTTATAATTAGTTTTGAGACATTTTGACCTAAAATATATTTTTAAAAATACATTCAAGGTGAACAAATACACGCATGGTGTTGTTGGGCAAAATAGTTCTCAAAGAAAACATATGTTTTACAAACATCAACATAATATATATAAACTTAGAATATGTGTAGGTTCACATCATTTTGGATAGTAAATAAAAAGTCTGGAAAAATGGGTGGAGTTCCCCTTTAAAGTACAGTTCTAACTGTTTTAATTACGGCATTTCAGAATCCCTGTGATTGACTTGCGGCCTATCCAGGGTGCTTCCTGCCTTCTGCCCAATAAGCGCTGGGATAGGCTCCAGCACCCACATGACCCAGGAGGATAAGCAGCTTAGACAATGTGTGTGTGTGTGTGTGTGTGTGTGTGTGTGTTCTCCATTATTTGTTTTCTCTACTGTCATCAATACTTGAGTAGAAGTAAATGAATTAGCATCTGATGCTTATAAAACTACAAAATTCATAAAAATTTTTACTTAGAATTGAGTTAATGTAACTAGTTACTACCCACCTCTATACAAATCTATCTTAAATATGTATACTATGTGCTAGGCAATGCACATAACACTACATGCTACAAATGCATACTACATACTACATATAAACACATAGTACTTAATAATGCATACTACGGATGCATACTACATGCTACTTCATTATGCATTCTATAGATACATACTACATATTAATGCTTACTACATTCCATAGATGTAGTTAAATACTATGTGCTACATAATACTGCATACTACATTTTATAATATAGTCTACATAGTAATGCATACTTTATACTACACAAGCATACTAAATACTAATTTTAAATCCCTAATATATACTGCAGATTAATACCATGTTCTACATAATACTGCATATTACATAATGGTAATGTACAGTAATGCATACTACATACTACACAATCGTGACACATACTAATTATATGCGCGTGCATACTACATACTGCAGATGAATACCATAGTAATTTGACTGTTTTGCCAAATATCTGTTGCTAAATGTGCTCATTAAAGATGGCAGATGTTGCAGCTTATGAGCTTTGTATTGGATATTACACATTAAATATCATCTATTTTAATGCATTTTAATGCTATTTTAAGTCAATTCAAACCAGCAATAGTAAGATAAAATTGTATCAAATAGTAATGAGTATAAACAGTATGACATTTCTATTCAGTTGGCAAAACTACATCCCTGTTATTTCAGACATATATGTCTCTAAATGTCTGAAATAACAGGGATGTAGTTTTGCCAACGCTGTAACTACATATGATCAGACCAGTGAAGCACACTGAACTGAATAGTGTAGGATTATACAGTCGAGTACACTGTAAACATTCACCTACGGAGCCTGTTTTTGTATTTTTCTGTATGTACTGGTGAACGTGTGTGGTGTGTTTTCTTGCCTTATGTTTTCTGTGTGCGTAGGATTGGTGTACGGCTCTTCGTGTCCATCCCTTCAACCATCACTTGCTTGGGCCTCTGCAAACGGTGTTGCTAGGCAACCCCATCCTCAGCTACTACAGTCCCTAATGGGGCCTTAAGAAGAGCAGGGCAGGTGGAGTGTACCATTTCATGGGCCGGTGAAGGGTGGGATGATGCATGGTGATCAGTAGCCCTGGTTTGGCTCAGTGCACTGCGTTTTAAAGCTCCAGCATCACTGAACCGGTCAGGGGATAAAAAAGGGTTTCACCTATGAAGTGAGGCCCTAGAAATGAACACTGCATTTGAATATTATTCGCTTAATGTTAACCAGTCCTCCCACCTTTTACTTTTTAAGGCAGACTTGTTGTTTTTTATCTTGATAATTCCAAAAGACTGTCCACATACTGTACTATGCTAAACATACTACACCTACTATGCTAATTAATGCACTATTGAGGGTGGCGTACTATGTAGTATGGTAGTATGCAGTTTTGGATGAAGCCAGATGCCATATATATATATATATATATATATAGCAGGGCTGCCCTTCTCCCCAGACACACACAGTAATTGTACCTGGTGTAATTAGGAGTAAGCGTCCCTCGGGTGTCTCCTGAGAGGAAAGGCACAGTGGAGAAGAATTTTAATTACCTCCATGTGAAGTTATTCAGGGGTTTTATGAGTATGATGCCTGCTTTCTCGTGGTTTCTCATGTTCAGATCTGATGCAGTGATCAAATAGGCTAAACGAATACATTTTGGTGCAACAGATCTCTTTAAACTGGCCTTAAACCGGTTCCACCGAAAGGTGGTGCACTGATGTTGACAGCGATGAGGTGTTGTTTTATTCCAAACCTTTTTTCTGACAAACCACGCCCCCTGCGCTGTGATTGACACATCATAGCATAGACTGTGGTGTCTGCTTAAGAAATCGTCTTTTCGTCATCGAAACTTTATCTTTTGTGGTTACACAGTTTAAACTTCTTTCAAACTTTTGTTGATCCCTTCAAAAACGATCAAAAGCTCCACCTTAAACCTGAGGTCTGAACAGGATTCTATACATACTACACAAGCGTGTATAGGATACAGTATAGTACACTACATACCATACTACCTACTATAGAGTAATGCATTCTACATACTAATTATGACTGTATACTATACGCTTCAGATGAACACTATGTTACATAATACTTCACCCTACATTCTACTCTATAATAATGCATACTACATACTTCACAAGCATACTACATGCTAATTTAATTGCATACTACATTCTGTAGATGAATACTACATGCTATGCAATACTGCATACCACATTGTACTATATAATAATGCATGCTGTATACTACACAAGCATACTATATACTAATTATAAATGCATACTATATACTGCAGATGAAAACTATGTGCTATGTAATCATTAATGCTACATTCTACTCCATATCAATGCATACTACATACTATAAAAGCATACTATATAATAAATACAAATGCATACTACATACTACAGATGAATACTATGTCCTATATCATACTGAATACTACATTCTACTCCATAATAATATATACTATATTCTACACAAGCATACTATATACTAATTATAAATGCATACTACATACTGCAGATGAAAACTATGTGCTATATAATCATTCATACTACATTGCAGGTTTACTGTTTTGCCAGAACTGCATTCTACAGATGCGTTCAACACACTACAGAGGCAAACCACATAATTCATCACATGCGTACTACATTCTACAGATGCATACTACATTCTACTGATGCATACTACACACTACAGAGACAAACCACATAATGCACCACAATGCATATTACATTCTACAGATGCGTACTACACACTACATAGGCAAAACACATAAAACGTCACAATGCATACTACATTCTACAGATGCGTACTTCACACTACTGAGGCAAACTACATAACACATCACAATGCATACTACATTCTACAGATACATACTAGACACTCAAGTATTCACATATAATTAGGTTCACTGTTTTGCCAGAACTACAACGTACAGGATGTAAACGCTGCACTATTTAAGGTGGAACGGATAATTCGAAAAAAAAAGAAGCTGGCGAATAGGGAAGCCAATTTCAGCCTCGTAAAATTACCACACTCTTCCCTTTTCTGTAAAGGGGGGAGTTCTGCAATGGTACAGTCTCCATAAAATGGGTGTGGTCGAGTCTTGCATATGAGATGTTACGTTTTTTTCCTCTCCTTACCGAGCGATTTCACACGGGACTTGGACTGAAAACCTGAGAGGAAGCACGTCCTTAAAATCTCCGTACATTTTAGCTGTTTGAAATCGCTTCGTTTAGCCTGCAAAGCGCCATTCGTGCTGTTGGGTAACGTTACTGATGGGCGGCTTATTATATGCTCCGCCGGCCAGATAGCCAAGTCATTTCGGCTGACGTTACTTTGTATAACGTTATTATTTCCTTTTCCTCCAAACGGGCTGCCGTGTTTCGTGCCTCGAAACTGATTTAACCATTAATTCCCTTTTTGTTTCTGTTTTTCGGACGAGGAGGCGACAGTCATACCGAAGAGGAAAGAAAAGAGAGGGAGGAGG